AACATTTTGACACAGACTCAATTTGTTTTCTTATATGCACCCATAATACAGAAAATAAACGTGGGTACAAGTTGTCTTGGGTACCAGTTGACTTGGGTACGAGTTGTCTTGGGTACAAGTTGTCTTGGGTACGAGTTGTCTTGGGTACGAGTTGTCTTGGGTACGAGTTGTCTTGGGTACGAGTTGACTTGGGTACGAGTTGACTAGGAAGCCTAGTGAAGGCATCTATCTAATACTGTAGTGGCTTTTCCATATAGCTTTTAAATCTCGTTAAGGTCTCGTTTAATGAGATTTTAGGAGATCTGCATTTTTTACCACTAAAGACTAACATTTTCTTCTATTTGAATTCTGTGTGTAATTTTCTATCAAAACAACTTAGTTTTTGCACTGTTATTTACCTTAATTCAAATTCCCAAGTTTTCTAAAAATGGTCGGGCTAAATTCCCATTGACACAATGTTGAAAAACCTTCAAAAGTTCATTTACTCTTACAAGGATCACAATTTTAATGTGAAATCACAAACCATATGTCAACAATATCATATAGTTACATTCTAATTGTGATAGTTGATTCAAATGAAATTACTTGTTAAATCAAGAAATTAAGTGACTCTTGTCATGTTATTTAGCCCTACCTATACCCATGATGCCATCTATTTTTCCATTTATATGGAAAGAGTCAATTCTACAGAATCAGACTTTTGGGGAATGCGTTGAGCGGGGACGTACCACATCCTTTCAGGGTGTATCATTAACATTCTAAGGTTTAATTCTCTATTTTGTTCTGGTAAATATCATTATGATATATAAAATCGCAAAAATAACTTTCCAATGATGTGCTTGAACGTTTGTAAAATCGTGTTTTTAAAGTAGAATACGTAATGCTTGATTTCTCGGTTAACAGACGGACCAATTTCATTTTTGTATTTAACGACATTTTAGATGATAATTTTTTTACAATGCCCCTCATAGTAGTACTTGAATCATGACAGTAGAACGCATGGAACATCGTTAAATTCCAAGCAGAAATAAACGTGACACAAGTCGTATTTTGTAGAACTCTTAAACTGGAAGCATTTTATAAATCCTGAGGAAGGTAACTGTTAACGTATGTTCCACTGATGAAAACTTTTGTTTCTTCTTTAATTATTTATTTTAATATCAAATAAAACAATTTACATACAGTTACATTCAATACAATACCTGACAATGTACATTACAATACAGATCAACAGAAAATGAATACATAAAAATGAATGGGACGGATATTCATATTTGGCTATTGCACATCATAATGTGCATATGTGGAATTGTCACTTTTCATTCATCTCAATTATAGGCTCCAAACAGCACTGTTTCTTTACTCTAATTCAAATCTGTTTGTAAAAATAAAATTTACCGTGTTCCTGTTATTTAATAACCGATCTATAGACGTCCTTGTTGTCAGGTAGTTGAACTTCTGAATTGTCTTCTCAGATTGAGTTTTTAAATTGTTAGGCCAGTCTACAGCAAGCATTTTGGGAAATCAGAGGGCCACTTGTTAGTAACAAGTGGCATTTTCGAAGAATGATCAAAATCAGACGTCCTATGGCCATTAGACGGACAAACAGGCAAACGAATAGGCGGCTTTTCTATCTCTGATGACAGGTTGTTCTCGTCTCAAAATACATGTTCTCTCGTTTGTAAGAATTTCCGTCAATTCTAATTAATGAATATCATGTATCAAAATTTATAAAATTGTCTAATATTTTACTCCAAATAAACTCTAAATATGAGTTCGATCCCGGGGTTCGATCGCTAACTTGTCAATCAATTAAGTTGCGCTTGCATATTGTCTCTTAAGGTTACACGCAGGAAAACTTTACAATTTGCGTCGGTATTCACTGTTACATAACTAGTTACTTTGACGAAACGTCAATGTAACAAAATGGATGAACTTCCTAGATATGTGTTTTTTTGTTTTCTCGATTTAAACTTACACTCCCCTCCATAAGTTTGGCAACCTTAGCTCCCCCATTGAACTACGTGTTAAAGTCTCTTTACCTTTGAATTTTTATTTACTTAACCTGCGATGAAAATACTTATACTATTGATGGAAACGTAATTTGACTTTATTTCCAATACCTCCAAATTTTCGTAATTTTTTTCTTCAATTACAATAAGTCGAAAATTGATGATAAATTTTTGAAAATCGACATCCCCATGTTAACCATTGGGAAATGGTAGGTTTGCCGCAAATCATATGACAATATCCATCCATCCGAGTCCTTGCAAAATACGAGTTGGGCAGGCAATTGAATTTGCTAACTTTATTTAACAAAAATTGATATGTTTTTTCAGATTCAACAAAGTTATACGGCTTTAAAGTCAAAATTGTTTTTCAAAAAACCTCTCCCATTGAAATAACACAGGAGGCGAAAAATTATTTTCAAAAATGACTTTGAAACGCTGTAACTTTAGTATTCATCAAATAAACTATATATAGGGTGGTCAAAAAAAATGGAAACCCTGTCGCCATTTTCCTCATATCTTTGTCATTTTAGGAAATTACTCCCTGATATTTAGCACATTTGTACATCAATCAATTTTGTATCGACCTACCATATTTCATGACCATCAAATTGATAGTCACAATATTACAGCACTTTAAACAACATGCTCCATTGGCCAATATTGCACTTTCGGAAAACCTGCACCTATCATCCAAAAACTCCCTACCTAACTTCAACCTGTGGTGATACACCAAAAAAGAGTGTACGAGAATAACCCCAGGACAACTGCACACCTCAAAAAGCAGATCATCCATGTCTTTCAGGTCATACCTGCTGAAAAATGTAGTCAGATCATTGACAACCTGTTCAGATTTGCCAATAGCGCGATGGTGGCCACACTGGGGCATTTTGTTCAAAGTGCTGTACCATTGTGACTATCAATCTGATGGTCATGGAATATGGTTAGCTGGTAGGAAATTGAATGCTGTACATACGTGTCAAATTTCAGGGAATAATTACCCAAAATGACGAAGATACGAGGAAAATGCAGGGTTTCCATTTTTTTTGACCACCCTGTACTTCGTGTACAAAAAAGTTAGACAATTCAATTTTCTATATAAAAATATTTTTTACTGAATCTTTTACTGAAAAGATATCCTGATTTCTGATTTGCCCCGAACCCTCCATTCCCATTAGATTACATGGAAATGACAATTTTCAAAAATTCATCAAATTTATCATCAATTTTCGACCTATTGTAATTGCGGAAAAAAATTGAGAAAATGTGAAGGTATTGGAAATAAAGTCAATTTACGTTTCCATCAATATTATAAGTTATTTCATCGCCGGTTAAGTAAATAAAAATTCAAAGGTAAAGAGGCTTTAACACATAGTTCAATGGGGGAGCTAAGGTTGCCAAACTTATGAAGGGGAGTGTATTTTAAGTCATGTTGCGGATTATCATTTGGCACAACATTAGAAAATATAGTCTAGCTTTTAGAAATGCTCTCGGTTTGAAATTTTACTAGTAGGTTTAAATCGAGAAAGCAAAAAATTCGTAACCAGGAAGTTCATCCATTTTGTTACATTGACGTTCCGTCAAAGTAACTAGTTGTGGAACAGTGATTTTGGCATTCGGTTTAACACCTTTCAGTACAATGCGCGTCGGTATAATGGGTTACGGTGCGCGTCGGTGTCCATCTGGCTTGCGACATACACTTTTGGACCAACAATAGTGGCACGTTTTAAAACCTCTGTCATAGGGTTCCCGTTTTAAGTAATCTTTGTTCAACATCAATACAGAAAACTCCCCATTGACTCCTGGTTTAAAAGCTCGTCTATTTTCAAGATGGCCGCCATTTTTGTCTCGTGAAATTCTCTTTTGACCCATTTCCTAGCTTTACAAATAAATTCAGATGTCCTGCATTGTAAAAAGCCATGTCAATGTGAAGAGTAGTTGTTTGAAATGATTTTGTTACAAAAAATCAGCAAAAAATTATATCCGTTTTTTTATTTTCAGCCATTTTAGTTAACATTGATTTGTCCATCTGTCTTGTGAAATCCACTTTTGGACCACTTGCCTCAACCTCTGTCGATAGGATTCCCGTTTTAAGTTATTTTTGTTCAACATCAATACAAAAAAACTCCCCTATGACTCCTGGTTCAAAAGGTCCCCTATTTTCAAGATGACCACCATGTCTTTGTAAAGAGTAGTTGCAAGAAATAATTTTTTACAAAAAATCGGCAAAAAATTATATCCGTTTTTTTTATTTGTTGTCATTTTAGCCATCATTCACTTTTGAGCAAGACCATGTGAGCCCAGTACCCATGGTACTATTTTTTCTAGTTTTATTGACTCTATCAAGGGCAATAATGTAAGCTCAAGTATGACACCTTGCTACTGTTCAGGGCACTATATCATCTACAGAAGCAATCATTTGTAATAGTTCCAAGATTTATTATCAAAAATAACAATGTAATGACACCTTCACAGAACAAACATTCATAAGTTACACGTGCAATTATTATTAAACAACTGTTTTTCATGAAAACAATTATTACATTTAAGCACATCTTCTCTAATGTGTGCTAACAATGTCTAACATAAAGTATTTGCAATTAATTGGTTCATTCAACTTAAAATTGTCGATACGGTAGGTTCAAAATGCTGGCATTTTTAGCACTTCCAGAGAGTGAGCATGTATTTACGTTCAGTGGCAAATTATATTAGAAAATGTATCTCAAAGTACAAAAGGATCACAGAATAACTGGTATGTGATGAAGATCTAAATTGGCAATCAAAGCTTATTATTCTGAAGATCAATTAATTAATAACTCATTGCACACAATGTACGGTTTGGACAAGCAAAATGATCTCTGTTGTCACCATTTTGAAACCAGGCAAGCTTTTAAGATGCCACGTATGGGCCAATTTAAGATTTTATATAGACACATTTGAAAAGTGAAACCATTTGAATTTTTGTGGAGAATTTCAAATAAGTCACCCATGTGTTGACAGAGAGACGGACGGACAGACAGACAAGTGGATGATTACAATAGCTCACACAATGTGAGCGAACAATAAATATATAATTATAATAATTATATCACTATCCAACAACTCCACTTGCTGCCCATTGTCTTATATCTGTAGGGCAACCAGGATAAGTCTGTAGGCTATCTTCTACTTGGGTAGAATCTATGAGGCTGCATAATAGTCTATATTCCTTTTGTGTTCGCGAAGAGCTACCATCCATGGGTCGTACAAGTTCTAGAGCTATAAGATGCTCAAATGCCTGAAAAATAGTGATGATGCAATGTAATAGTATTCTGAGAAACATTCCACCTACAATAAAAGCTAGCCTTTTTAGCTAGTATACCATGGTATTCTCTTCCCACATTCCGGGCCGTCAGTTTACTAAAATTAGTCAATTTGCTACTACATGTATATTAGATGAGAAATTGCATAAACGCATAATGTTTAGTGGATACCCGAGAATTTCCAAAACTTACCAAAAAGGGGAAATATTTTTTACTTTAAAACATTTAAAACAAAATAATGCAATCATAAAGAAAATAATAAAAGTGAATAATAATGTGCTAGATAAGCAGATATGCTTAAACTGAATAAGTGAATTTAACAAATTCATAAGCAAATAGAATCTTACCTTCATGATTACAGGTTTTTCAAAGATCTGCATCGATGACCTTCTTTGAGCATATTTTCTATATTCTGAAATGAAATTATGAGTAAATTAATGCTTTATTGAAAATTTAGATGGCTAATTTTGTAAGTATATGTATGTAAGTGAAAGTGTTGAATGGGAAAGTACCAAAAAGTATTAGAAACACATTTAGAAAAAGAAAAATTAAAAAGTATAAAAGTCATTAAGATCATAAAATCAAAAATTTTTCAAAATTTTAGAGGTCACACATATCAATTTTAATAAGCGACAATTCACTCCAACGCATATGGCACACATTTTCATGTATTTTGTTGAAAAAATTATAAAAATGGTTGATAAATAAGAAATTAACTCATTCATACATAAAAGAGGTTCAGAGAAAAATGCATTTTAATATTTTAGTTATATCTAAAACAAAACATACAGGGTGATCCAGAAGTAACGTCAAAGATGTTGTAATTTCAAAAGTATTCATCAGATCTTCATGAAATTTGGTATACATGTACCCACAACATTTCTGAGTTACCATCTCAAAGATTGGAATTCAATCATTTAATTGGTTGAAATTATGGTTGCTATAGTAACCCGATATCGCGTAACCCGGGGCAAATTACTTAACGTGTAATGCGTAATCTCAAAATATCAACAAGATCTGAAATTGTTATATCCTCAACATTTTATTTCACAACAATATAAATCATACTATTGCACAGTTACTAATAATAGTTCATTCTACATAATTGCCACCATTTGCAACACATTTCTCATGTCTGGATACCCATTCCTTGAACACAGAATTAAATCCATTAGAACTCATTCCTTGTAGGGCTAGTACTACGACATCTTTCAATTCCTCACAGGATTGAAAATTATTTCCACTAAGGTTTCTTTTTAGTTCCCCATACAAATAAAAGTCACTGGGGGCAAGATCAGGTGAATAAGGGGCATGTTCAAGTTGTTGAAATCCAAGTGTTTGGACTGTGTTGCTGGTCAGGATTGCAGTGTGCGTAGGGGCATTGTCCCAATGCAAGATAAACTGCTGCAGATGTCCGGGACGCTTTTTCCTCAGGGAACGTTGAAGATCACGCTTCAGAACCTGAAAAACAAATGTTTAATGGTTGTTAAACCAGTTGTTTCATTGATTGGATTTGGATTTGAATCATGGCCATGGAGTTATAATTATATTGACAGTGAACAACATTTAAATACTTTAATTTAAAAATAAAATTCACAGTATGATGTATTATTAGAACAAATGATATCTTACCTTTGCAATGTAAACGGCATTAATTCTCTGGCCAATGGGAACAAAATGGGTTAACACCATTCCTCTAATGTCAAAGAATGTCACAACCATTTGTTTCTTTTGTGGAATTCCTGGTACTATTTTAGGCTTGGTTGGTGTTGGGGAGTTGTCATGTTTCCACGATGAACTTTGTTGCGTGGTCTCTGGGATGTAGAATGATAGCAATGATTCGTCACTCGTAATGATCTTGTTAAGAAAGTCATCTCCATCTCTCCGATATTTTGCAAGAAAGTCCCTTGAAGCCTTAACACGCCGGTCTTTCTGCTCCTGTGTCAAGTCATGCGGCACCCATTTAGCAGACACCTTCTTTAACAGACAGTTCTTTGTCAGTATCCGTTGCACAGTCCCATAGCTCAGATCGTGTTTTTCAGCCAATTCTCTGATAGAAATTTGCCTATTGTCCATAACATCAGCTTCAATTGCTTTGATGGTTTGATCATCGAATGACGACACTGGCCTGCCTCCTCGCTGCTTGTCTACCACTTCATCATATCCACTGGAATACTTGTTAAACCACCTGTAAATGTTTCTCTCAGCAATGGCAGCTTTACCATATGCCTTCTTTATCTGTCTTATAGTCTCTTTTACACCTTTCCCCAACTTTACACAGAACTTAATGTTTGTTCTTTGCTCTATTTTACTCTGACTTGGCGCCATCTTGAATTGGGTGGGTTAGTGTCCTTGGTCATGTTAGTATTTGTCATGGATGATGGAAGCAATTCAAAGAAATTGAAAGCTTTTTATGAATGCCTATTGTGACATCACAACTATTACATATTTGTTACCATGGCAACAAATATAAAAATCATAGAAAACAAACAATGAACATTTTCAAATGTTACTGACTTTTTAAATTAGAGAAATTCACAAAAACGTTATGGTTTCTCTTCAATTTGCCCCGGGTTACGCGATATCGGGTTACTATAGCAACCATAATTTCAACCAATGAAATGATTGAATTCCAATCTGTATACCAAATTTCATGAAGATCTGATGAATACTTTTGAAATTACAATGTCTTTGACGTTACTTCTGGATCACCCTGTACATGTAAGTGGTACATTAGATAGGCTATGCCATTTTATTATTGAAATAGTGTATCCTTTGTTTGTTTCTTCACAATGGTGTATTGTATGTATGATTGATGTATGTATTGTATTAAGATTGAAGTATGTATTGTATTTAGATTGAAGTATGTATTGTATTTAGATTGAAGTATGTATTTCAATGCACTGAATAGTGAAAAGATTTCAACTATGGTCGGAACTATGGTAAAAATGGTAGGAAATTTGTATATTTGTAAAATACTTCAAAAATCTCTAAAGTAACTTTCAAAGACATGAAAAATTGTAAATAAATGAATGATACAAACATATTCTCAAAATTAGCATGGGGCCTTTAAACACTAAAATCCAACAAGAACATTCATTGTCATAGTCCACAAACACAATAATTCAACAAAACTCATTGTGGGAGTCTAAAAGCCTAGCAAGAACCCTGACATTGTGTATAGGGGCATGATGGACTGTATTTTTTTTATTTCTTGTAAACAATACAATGTGTAAAAGCAGAGATTTCGAAACTCACCATTGTACACCATCTCAAAATTGAATGGTTCTCCCTCATATAATTCAGTGAGGTGTTTCATAGATATCACCAAGCATAGTTCAAGAACAGATATTCCTGGAAATACAGTAAATGGTCAGGAATATCAAATCAATCAAAGTTAAATGGTTGTATATATGACAAAATGAAAACTAGAATCATAAAGTCCCTACTCTAGAGTAGCGAATCCCACCAAACAAAGCATATTTTATCGAATCACCATTCATTTTGGACAACACATGATATAAATAATCAGAAAGTAGTAGAGTAGTATATATTGTTTCCTTTTGGCCATATTTTTCCTGAGAAATGGTGGCGATTTTGAATTCAGTATTCCCTCTTAACCAGGGTCCTTTGCCAATAAGGCGTTAGTACATAAAATCTGAACAAATCTGATAAATTGAGTTATCAAATGGCCATTCTGAATTCAGCAGTCATTTTGTAAATTCATTCTTGGGCAGATTTCTATGTCCATCAACAGCATATAAAAGGCATTTGATACAAAATTTGAACCAAATCCATCAACTGGTTTTGTGTTTTGTTTTAAAAATACCTTTTACAAAACCAAGTAATCTTCATTTAAGTAGTTTTGGGATATATAGGCAAAATTAAATGCAATCTAAAAAAAATTCTGCAAAAGCAATACAAAACAATCTTAAATCCTGGCTACACTCTATGATAGCATAATTTACCATGTAACATTGCAGCCTTAGAATCCTGAGTAAGATATCTACTTGAGTCAACGAGGTCAACGGCTTCCAGTTGTGGATGATTTTCACATATTCTGCAAAGTGGTAAGACCTAAAATGAGAGAACAAGATTTTAACATTTTATAGTGTAAGGTAACCACTAACCACAGTCTCTTTCTCAGGTATTTTGATAAACCTATTACTTGTATATAATGTACCTGTTGATATACAACATATGTTATGATTTTTTAGTAAACAGCCATGAATCAGCACTTTTCTTATGAGAAATATATAATAAGACACAGATGCATGAATGTATGTCCATCATTGGGTCATTTAATAGTGGAATTATCCCTAAAGCTCATCAATAGTGAGTAAGAGTAATGGTCATCAATAGTGATTTAAGTTCATCAAAAGTGAGTAGAACACCAATAATGAGTAAAACTCACCAATAGTGAGTAAGAGTAATGGTCATCAATAGTGATTTAAGTTCATCAAAAGTGAGTAGAACACCAATAATGAGTAAAGCTCACCAATAGTGAGTAAGAGTAATGGTCATCAATAGTGATTTAAGTTCATCAAAAGTGAGTAGAACACCAATAATGAGTAAAGCTCACCAATAGTAAGTAAGAGTAAAGGTCATCAATAGTGATTTAAGTTCATCAACAGTGAGTAGAACACCAATAGTGAGTAAAGCTTATCAATAGTGAGTAGAACACCAATAGTTAGTAAAGCTCATCAATAGTGAGTAGAACACCAATAGTGAGTAAAGCTCATCAATAGTGAGTAGAACACCAATAGTGAGTAAAGCTCATCAATAGTGAGTAGAACACCAATAGTGAGTAAAGTTCATCAATAGTGAGTAGAACCATGGACATACACCAACTTACCAAAAGAGAATGTAAAGTCCGGAGATCTTTACTTTTCTGGTATAGTTTCCTGAGTATATCCCGGACAGAGTCTTCCTTGGCAAGAGCCTAAATAAGTAAAACGGTAATGTAACATGGTGTTATATAATTTAGAGAGCTAGCTGTTTGGTAGACTATCCACTAATTCATTTGGTTTATTATTATGAGGTTGTAAAATTGAGATTGCAAGTCTACAGATTTGACAAAACAAAAAAATTGGAAGTATAAACAGAGTGAAAAATGCAGGACAGTTTCAACTTTCAACACAAAAAACATTAAGGATCAAATCTACATTAATAAACATGTAGTGTAATTCATTCTGAGATTGACATGAAAGCATGAATATTTATCAGTTACTCTAATTAAAAACTAATCCAAGGCAAGTTTTGTATCTAAATATCATGTGACTACATTGTAATTTCAATTCAAAACTTCAACAACATACTTGTATGCTTGTGTTCCATTGTTTTCTGTATGTTTTGTCCTGGAATGTGTCTGGTAGAGAAAGGCAGGAGACAAACTGTCCCAAATAACCCTCAAACTTTATGTCGCTAAGGAGGTGAATCTGCCTGTGAGAAAATCTGGACTTAACTCGTTTTTCCAACAGCTCAATAACATCCTAAAATAAACAAACTTAAATTTTTAATTCATTCAAATCTAAAAATTTTATAAAGGTCCAAAACAGGTCCAAATGATAGAATATTCTCTCAACTGGTTATATACAATTTTCATCATGTTCTACAAAGTTATAGATTACTAGTTTCGCTGATTATCAACCACAGTTAGTTAATGTACCAATATCAAGAAGGTTCTTATTTCAGAACTGAAATTCCAAGTTCATAGGTAATTGCAGGTAGATCTGATTTCAGACCTTGTAACCATTTCACATAGAAACCATGTGTTCATGTTGTTTCCCTGACCAGAAGACCTCAAAATGTCAATTTTGTGGGACTTCTCCATTAGATTCTCCAGATATTCTTTACGAGACACCTTAAAATAATTAACTTTCTGAAATAGTTTGATTTGGTATATATTTTAACATTTCTGAATTAATTAACAATGTCCATTTCAACGTCCACATGTGAGCATCCTTAAATGGGTCTCTGCTCTCTAAAATTTCTAGGAATATTGATATAAAGTGATGCCTACCAATCTGCATGTTAACCCTATAACGCATATAGGAGCCTGTCTGGACTGAGACACATCAAACAAGTTGTAGAGCAAGGTCTGATTCTTATGATGGGCAAACAGATCAAACTCATCCAGAATGAACACTATTGACTTGGTCTCCTGTCCACCTGGAAATAAATAGTAAGTGTGACTTATTTCAGAGGTGCAATTCTATATCTAACCAAGAATTTGACTTTTAGGTTTAGTTATTCAATGCAGACTGAATAGGTTTGTCGGACCTGTCTCATATTTTCTCTTTGAGCTTAATTGGATGAGTTGACTAAAGATATTGCTGCTTGCAAGTTTGTCATCCATTACAGTAAACGTCTAATTTTATGCTTAAAATTATAAGAAAATGATACATTCACAGCTCATGTACTATATATATCTAATATGTATATATACAAGATTACTCACCTCTTTTAAGTGCATCCAAAAGAAACTGTAGATTCTCAGCAAAAGATCCCTGAAAAATAGATAACAATCAATTGAACTTGTATGCTATCTTATATACAGTTGACGGACAGATTTTATGGTGATACAATGCAGTTATGACAGAAGCAAATGGACTACTATAATCTAAATTTTATATTTATTTATAAATAATTAAGAATTGATCACCCATTCTAGCGATTAATAAAAAATTACAATCAACCATTTTGAATTTGTATCTCCTAATACCAAATGAGTGTTTCCCCAAATAATGGCAAATCATACAGAATGAGAACTGCGCCTCTTCCCTGGTACGATGTATCACATATTATACTCACAAAAACTTTGTCTCCAACAGTATTTTCCAGTTGTAATTGGCGAGTGATTTCCTTCAGGGCAATCCTATCATCTGTCTGAAGCAAACCTTAAAAAAAGTGTTTAGATATGTGAATTATGTGAATTCAGTGAAACCTGCAAAGTGGAACACTTCTAGAAGTGGAACACAATTGTTAGTGGAACAGTTTTCAGAGTCCAAAGACAAACTGACTTTATGATAAATGAACCTCCATAAATGGAACACCTCAAGTGAAACACATTTCAGAAGTACCTACTGTGTTCCAATTAGACGGAATTTACAATATCAATACAAAAAGTATGTAAAGTGAAGGGCTCTCGCCAGGCTTTTAGACTGTGGCGCAGCACCACACTCTATTTAGCTCCCTCCACACCCTATTGGCAAATCATGACTGTTTCCACAGTCTAAACTTGACTGAATATACAATAACAGCATGTAAAAAGGATAAAACATTACATAAATATGATTTATCACGATTGAACTGTTATTCTGAAGATATTAGCACCACACCCTAAATATTTCCTGTTGACAGCCCTGAAGTGTAAAGATTTTATGGACACCTTGTATATCAATATGCTTGCATTGTCTCCTCCAGAAATATAGCTCATATCGTATATCAGAAGCATTAAAGAACTTACCATTTAGATGTACCTCTAGCAAAATTTCGCTGAGTTCTGTCTGGGACTTTAACTCCTGGAGAACACTTTTCAAAAGCTGTAACATAAGATACAGTTACACAAATACACTTTGCATTTCTTCATTGACACAACCCAATTTGAAGTTTATGGGAGATTTTGAAAACAATACCTCAGTGATACATAAGTGAAAGATTTTGTGCTCAAAATAGGAATTACAAACCAGATATTTTTTAAATACATGTATACATACCATAGTTACTCTCTTTAAGTGTAGCTGTTATTTCAAATAAGACATTTCTAATATACATGTACATACCATTGTCTTTCCACTGCCCCTAGGTCCAACAAGGAGTACAGAGTTGCTCTCTCCCAGTGTAGCGGTTCTCTTCACCAGTTCAAAAAGATGGCTGAAATCGAATATATTAGCATTGTCGAAATGAAAGACTGGGAAGAAATTCCAATCAGTCAATTGCAGTTTGATTCAGGGAAGCCCAAATAAGATTTGTTATTATTTGATTTGGTGCTTGCTTAAAAATGAAATATAGTAAGGGTACTGACAATACAGCTTTGAGTCAAACTACCATTGACTTTGGAAATACTGTTAAATGAATCAATGATTGGTTCATTGGTCTTGCAACCGAAAAGTAATGTTGCCTCGTAAAAAACAAGCATTTCGCATTCCAAAAGAAATTTATTCTTTCTCATTTGTCAAAGTAGTGTGTAACTAAAAAACAAGCAATACAAATAATGAAATACATGTTGAATTCATTTCTGGTCCTTTTGATGACATCTACATATTTGCTATAATTAACACTTGTCCTGGGAAAATATTTTACCTGCGTTCCTTTTCAAATCCATACATATTGTGTGGAAGGCTCTGTCCACATAGCTGCTTCCGAAGAATTTGTTGGGTTGCTTTTATGTTCTCAAGTAGTGACAAGGTGGATGTACTTTTTCTTTTACTCATCTTGATGTACTGCAATATGTTAAGATAGATATGTATGTTGAGTTTTTTACTAATTTTCATGATAACCGGTAATTAAAGGGACTCTATGCATATTTTCAACATTCTTTGGCAAAATAAAGACTTACTTTTGAACTTCATAGAATTTCCAATGGATTGTTAAGCACTATATCTTTCAATGGACACCACATACAGCTCAAAAGGTCCACATCAGAGCTTATAATAACTTATCAAAAAATAGTTTTGATCTGTCAAGTTTTATATTTCAAGTTTTTACCAATGCCAATGAAAGATAGCAATGTTATTTGTATCACATGATTCATTCTATTTTATTTAAGTGTCGCCATCTTTTCAATCAAAAGTTGTTTAAATATGCACTTTGTCAAAAGCATGCAGCACTACTAATGATATCTGCTGTTTTGTACATGAGTTATTTTATCTTGCTTCAATATTGTTGCAAATCAAGCTTTGTATCATATTTGATTGAGTGTGTGAATTATATGCTTTATGATTATTTTATCCTCTCTGGCTCTAAACTAGGCATAGTGCCCATTTAATAAAACAGGTACAATATTTTTGGACGATTGGATACTGACGAATGGGGTTTGTAGAAAAAACCGGGTATCACATCATTGGTCCGAATCCCAATTATCCGAATCCCAATCTTCCAAATCCCAATCTTCCAAATTCCATTCGTCAGGGTTTGTAGAAAAAACCAGGTACCGGGTAGTAAATCCTCCATGCTGGGTTCAAACTTGGTACCCGGGACCCGGTCGAAAAAACCGGGTACCCAAAAAACGAAAAATACGAATATACAACATAATTAGATCATTATAAAAAGTGTAAGATTTGTTTTGAATCAAAAATGTATGTAACTTCCTTCAAAGTTGAGCTAGACGCTTCAAATAAAAAGCATTTTAAGGCTCTTTTCTTTCTCTATCATCATAGTCATATTTTCATTGGTTATTGGGGGGGGGGGTGTGATCGCACCATCGAACCCCCTCCTGGCTACGCCTATGACATTGTAAGACGATTTGAAAAGCATGACAAATCAATCTTACTCTATTTTCAATAGTTCATATGTTGGTACGTGAATTGTTTTGAATTTTGATTATGATTTAAATCTTTAAATAACTAGCGTTACTTTAGCAGAGAGGTGACGTGTTTTAATTTACATGATGCAACGTGTGAGATTTTGATTATTAATCATAATTTAAGTTATCCCAATTTTCGACGAAACGTCCACTGAAATGTAAATTGTTACGTCTTACAATGTCATAGGCGATCGCACCCTCCCCCCCCATAACCAATGAAAATATGACCATGATGGTAGAGGAGGAAAAGAGCCTTAAAATGCTTTTCATTTGAAGCTTCTAGCTCAATTTTGAAGGAAGTTATATACATTTATGTATGTAACCCTGACGAACCCTGACGAATGGAATTTGGAAGATTGGGATTTGGAAGATTGGGATTCGGATAATTGGGATTCGGACCAATGATGTGTTCTCCGAGAGGAGGATAAGAAGGTTTAAGTGATGGAACTTCCCTTTGTTCTAAATTACGCAGAGAACTTTTTACATATGTCCCCGTCTAATATACCAGCTGAGGCTAACATCATCATGGGCTTTCAATTCTCGAAATCGCTGTTCCCTCTTCAAAAGAGGAGACGCGAAAATCTTTCCTTATAAGGTCAAAATATTTCCCATGATGCAGTTCGCGGAGGAACAAATTTATACTTCCTTGGTTTCCCTCATAGGTTTAACATGGGGATTTTAACACATATTTTTCAAACGATATATTCGTTCATATTCCCGTACGAGGGTACAGAAAAAATTATTAGAAACGATTGATCCCTCATTAATCTTAATATAACAGCTATTTTTGTCATTGTATTGATTCATAGCGTGGTGAAAACGATGATTGAAAAGTGAGAAAATATTCCGGAAGAGAAGGTCACATGATCAGTTGACTAGTCGCCATATTGGAAAAAACAATTCCATTCGACTTTCAATACTTTCATGCCAATCTTACCGCACTGGTAGAAAGCAACTTACTTTTTCACCCATTGGAATACATGTAAAATTGGCAAAGTTCAAATCATAATTTCTCAAATCCCAGCCCATCGAATCCTCACATACATTCAGATCATGTAGTCCTATTCAAAAACTTCCCGTTCGGTTATATGGTGAAAAAAATATCCCACGAACGAAAAAAGATTTTGCTACATTTATAAGCGAGCATTGATTTCTGGGCCTGTAAAAAGCACGTAGGACCTGATTACCCCATTGATTTACTGAGACCGCCAAAAATATAATTCAATTTTTTGGTTCAAAATAATAATCTGTCAGCGGTCCCTGACACTCCTACTAGCTATCACCAAACATTAATTGCCAATACATGTACACATATACGTGCCATACATCTACAAAGTAGCGAACTAGTGTATTAAGTACTACTTTTCCTATACGATGAGCAAAACAAATCGCACGTGAGTTGTATTGACCCTAATTATTAGTGTCATGGTTGACTGAATATGCATTTTATTCAATATGAATTTTAAAGTTCGGGGTTTTATGAAGTGATATGTACATTTTTGCTCAAATCCCCTCAGCACTTTTGATTTTATAGGGTTCTCTTGACCCCTGGGGTCATTATATTTTGTGACAATTTATTCCAGACTAAATGTAGTTATTTTGTCATTAAAATATCTTATTAGAGAAACGTTCAGGAAAAGTTGCGCTATCCACAAGACTTCTTGTCACTGCACTGATAAATGTAGCAAAATAGGCAAAATAATTCAGCCTTGAGCATGAAAATTTTGAATTTTTGGACAAATTTTGGGCTATTTTGGTGGATTTTTGCCCATAACGATACTAATCTACTTAAAAACAGCTGTTTAAAGTTGTACAAATTGCTTAAGTGATTTATATTCTCTCATAAGTAGGACTATTTGCTACTTTACTAAACTGAACATCATTGATTTTTCGTATTTTTATGAACTTCTGATGGCTAGTTCAAGTAGCATTGTCTTTTGTGCAGGTTTACTGAATATGTCCCTTTAAAATTGGGTCTTTCGTGGGTTTAAAGGGTCAAAATGTTGGAACTTCGCACACTGTGGAACGTTTGGGGTGTGTTTCCTTTAATTTGGCAAGAACTGCATCAAATTACTTGATAAGAGAGCAGAAATGTAGCAATTTAGGCTGAAAAGTACTGTTTTCAATGAAAAAAACGAAAATTGCTGACTCAGCAAAATTTAGATCGTCGTCTCCAGAATTTTAGGGGTTAATTTGCAAAACTTTAAATGGTTCCATAGAAAGATATGCGAAATATGGCTAAATTCGACATATTTCTCGAAATTCACTAATAAATGTGGTTGATATTAGGTAGAAAGCAACTTACTTTTTCACCCATTGGAATACATGTAAAATTGGCAAAGTTCAAATCATAATTTCTCAAATCCCAGCCCATCGAATCCTCACATACATTCACATCATGTAGTCCTATTCAAAAACTTCCCGTTCGGTTATATGGTGAAAAAAATATCCCACGAACGAAAAAAGATTTTGCTACATTTATAAGCGAGCATTGATTTCTGGGCCTGTAAAAAGCACGTAGGACGTGATTACCCCATTGATTTACTGAGACCGCCAAAAATATAATTCAATTTTTTGGTTCAAAATAATAATCTGTCAGCGGTCCCTGACACTCCTACTAGCTATCACCAAACATTAATTGCCAATACATGTACACATATACGTGCCATACATCTACAAAGTAGCGAACTAGTGTATTAAGTACTACTTTTCCTATACGATGAGCAAAACAAATCGCACGTAAGTTGTATTGACCCACTACAAACTGCATGCAACAACGGAATAAAAATATTTATCATCAAATTACATCATAGAGTTACGTTGAAAACCAACAAATAACTGAGCAGTAGACCAAAGAAGAAGCGTCGCTATTATCTAGGTCACTCTGTTCAGTGGTCCGAAAGCAAATCTATAGTACTCGTTTCCGAATTTTGTTGTTCATTGTACAATCTTTTATTAATTAAACTCGGTATACAGACTATTAAAGCAATGACAAAGAAGAATACTTCCGATGTTGTTATTGTTTTATTTAGCGTGCGGGTGTAAAAACAAAATTGCGTAATTAATCTAGTTTGATTTAGAACTTTCGGGTCACGCAAATAGCTACGCGAAATGCATAGTGAGAAAATATAAACCAATCAAATTTTGTCCTTTTTGAGTGCTTTTTCAGTACATATTTGCGAACGTTCTGATTCAAAGAGCGAATCGCGAAAGGGAGAATTAGATTTGTACAACTACAACAGGTCTCAGATACCAAAATTACCAGCTATAAGTTAGGCTACATAGTTCTCTGTGCTAAATTAGTCCAAATATGCCCCTAATACACTGTAGGCCTTTTCCATAAGTTCTTAAGCTTAAACATAACTTAGAGAGGATAGATAATCATCTAGATAGAAAATATATTTAGGAGTTTACCTTTCCCAGACTTTTCAAACCGGATATGACCTATATTTTCTTAACCAATCAAATTTATTGTTACATAGAAAACCAATATGGAGGACATCGAAAGAAAAACGGAGGTATGCACATTCTCATTTAAGAAATCTGGAAAGAAGAGACAGGCTAGAAAAAGGAAAACAAGTGAAAGTGAAGGTAAATATATATTCTTGTACAATAGTCTGGAACTGATCAACGGTAAAGAGCCAAGTACCCCAAAATTCGGTCAGTCACACTAAAAATCTATTTTTCATTTTTTCACTTTTTCCATTTTCTCAAAATTCACTGAACGAAGATTGTGACGGAGATTGTTTTGTTTTTAGATGTAACTTTTGATTTTTGTAAAATTCATAGATTCCGGCAAGCCTCTTTGATAGTAGGATCAGTAGCTCAAAAAATATTCCTCAAGATGAGACACCATACACATGAATTGTAGCACATGACACAGATCCGGAGCCAGATACAGTCCTTATTGGTTGGTACTTGGTAGTAGGCTCGAAGGATAAATGGGAAGATGAGACACGAGCCAAAAATGGCACATCAAAAAATCACCACCCAAAAATATGACCCTAGTACTGACCTTTATTTTTTCCATCTGTCAGACATTGATTGATTAATATTTACCCTGTAATCTCTTCTTTATGTATTAGTTTGAATGGTTGCATGATATCCATTATTGAAGCTGTAATACAAATTTTTCCGGGACATTTATTTCAAATTTTCAGAGCGTTATTGTTTCTACAGGAGTTTAAAGAAACATCAGTTGTACATTAGTGGACTCTTGGGGAAGGAGGATTGATATTTGAAAAATAACATGTGACTCTATTGACAAGTGCATCAAAATTCTAAACATACAGACTAACCTCAGGCCTGTAGCCAGGATTTGCCAAGGGGGGGGTCACTTTTTGAAAATTCCAGGGGGGGTTCACTTGTGCCAGGGGGGGGGGGGGGTTCGAACCCACCAACCCCCCTGGCTACGGGCCTGAACCTTAAAGTAGATTTTCTAGATATGGTTGGTTGGGTGACATTTTTTGGGGCTTTTGGTAGCCCATTTATTTATTTACTTTGTATGTACAGTATATTTTAACAGGATAGTAGTAATTGTTTTGTTGTGCCGAAAGACACAGACATGCTCAAAGTCACTCATATAAAATCTGGCTCTACCTCCCAGGGGAATTGTCAAATTTTTATTTGAAATGTTTGTAATGTTGTTATTTATGTTTTAGGCAGTAGTGATGAAGATACTGTTGTAGTGAGAAAAGAAAAAAAGTTTGATCTAGGGAATCCTATGGTACAGAAGGTAAGATTGAAGCCATTGCTGGTATTGTTTACAATTTTGTTCAAGTCTCTCATGCGTGAATGTGAATGAGTCAACAAATTTTGGAGTGATCTCTATTACAAGAACATTGTTCATGTAGTTTCAAAACCAAAGTAATTTACTTTTCTGTACAGATGCTGTTTTTTCTACATAGTAGAGTTTTGCAACTATTTATTTTCTACATTTAGAGTATCAAGACAAAAGACAAAGAGGATGTCAACTACAGTGACAGCGATGATGAGAAAGGTTTCAAAGTGGCATACAAATCAACTAAAACAGGGGTATGTACAACAATTCAAAAGTGGTATGTACAATGGTCAATTTCATGTAGTTTGTCATTATCATCACATTTCATGGAATTACAAGATAATCAGTTTAACTCCATGTCTTCATAATTTGTGTCGGTGGTTGTAGCAGCATGCTTATAAAGTGCCTCAAAGAGGATAAGGGTTAATGGTTATGCTATATATTATTGAATGCTGATATTATAGAATCTTCGAAGTATTGAAATAGCTCATAACTCTAACTAGATAATGGGTTAACTGTTATATTCAATAATGAAACATGATCATTCAATAATAAAACATATGATTATTCAATAATAAAACATATGGTCATTTAATGCACACAGTATAAATGTTACAAATATAGAAGTACAGAAAAAACTCAACCTTAGAACCTTAATTAATTCTATTTATCATATCAGAGTCTATTATCATACCTGTAAAATGGACAAAATGCATAGACTTTATGTGATTTTTTAGCCCAAAAATTGAACAAATCTGCAAAAATATTTTTGCATGAGAAAGTTTACAAATAAATCACTGTATAACCTCACGGAGTGGTAAAATGTGTTAGGCATTCCCCTTGAATGATTTTTTGAGTTATGTATTCATTATTACATACTTTACCCCACTCTACTTTATTATAGAAAAGTGAAGGTCCAGCAGACATGGGAGCCACTGCTACATATGAGCTTGATGCAGACAAAGCCAATGATGCCCAAGCCATATTTGAAAAAGCTCAGGAAATTAACAAAGTAAGTTTCTTTGATGTATTGGCATTTGCAAGTCCAGGCATTTAGTCCTTCCATCTACATGTACTCTTGAATTTTTAAGCAGAATCAGTTTTGTATATTTGAACATTTTTTCAACTAATAGGGAGTTTAAAATTAGCGTAAATAACCCATTTACCTATACCTATACGTAGTTTGTTATTACACTAAGCGGTATTTTACCTAAGTTACAGGGTTTACGATACGTAATTACCTATAAATGGCCGAAGATAGGTAATTCGAAAACGTATGTTTTTATCAAACAAATTGTGTCATTTCTAGATCAAATATCATCCAATAAACTTTAAAATAGTAACACCAAACATTTCTCATTCGATCTGTATAGAAATTAAGTGGTCGAACACATTCATTGATGCGATAAACGATGCCATGTGATGATGCATGAAATTGTTGAATTTACAAATTCTTCATCAGTTTTGCTTATTGTAAATGTATGAAATCAGCCGTTATATCGTGGTTTTAATTGTTTAACTTTACTATTTGGCCACTCTCATTGCTAGATCATGCTAGAAATTTAACATTTCGGCTTAAGTCACTGCCCCATTAGCGGGCCCACAAGCATCACCCCCTCCCAACTACAGTAGCTACACCACACACTCTCTGAAGTATATAACAATTCTTGGAGGTGACATGTACTGGTATATGCTATATAAGCCATCGCATGGTTTTTATTCTATGATTAGGAGTTAATTTTATCATAAATTGTAGCATATGGTTTCGCAGCCTTTTACGTTAATCTTAAACGCATTTTGCAATACGCATTACCTATACGTATCCGTAACAAACATACGGATAGGGATAGGTACACGTATATTTTTACGCTAATCTTAACCTCCCTAATGTGTTCTTAGTCACCCTAAATATAATACGATCAAAGTCTTGTCAATTTGTAAAATATTGGTATTTGTAAATCAGACAAGCTTTTAAGTTGAATATTGTCATGTGTTGCAGGAGTTGAAGGATAAAGAAGATGATAAAGTATACAGGGGTATAGAGAACTACCAACAATTTTATGAGAAGAGGGACACAGCCCAGGGCAATGCCTCCAGTGGTGCCAACAGGTACATATCACATATCATAACTTGCTGAATTTTAAAATTATCATGCTTGTGGGTTAAAATATGCTACCAGTGCTCACAGTCAATGACCTTACAAAGTACATTGCATTCAACGCAGTGAGAAATCAATTCGATTGTGACTGTTTTGGATTCAAATGTGACTTTTTTAATTCAACTGTGACTGTTTTCGATTCAATTGTGACTGGTTTGGATTCCAATGTTACTGTTTTGGATTCAAATGTGACTGTTTTGGATTCAAATGTACTTTGTATTCAACGCAGTGAGAAATCGATTCAATTGTGACTGTTTTGGAGTCACAATTTGTTCTTAAATGAACTCTTAGTTCCATCAAAGTTTTTACTGAACTGTGCTTGTTTTATGATATTTCAGGAAGGGTCCAATGAGGGCTCCAGCTCATCTTAGGGCCACAGTGAGGTGGGACTATGCACCTGATATATGTAAAGACTTTAAAGAGACTGGTTTCTGTGGCTTTGGTGACAGCTGTATATTTATGCATGACCGTGGAGATTACAAACATGGCTGGCAGTTAGAAAGAGATGCAGGCAATACAGAAGAAGGTACATTACATTCAAACATTCACTATCCATTTTCTAATACAATGGTCGTTATCCTACCATTTGTAAATGCCAAATGATAATACTAAGTATACTAATGTAATACTACATAGTAATAATAGTAATACTAATGATATTGGTAAATTCAGGTTGACGCAAATGCAAGCAGCATTTTTGACTAATGTATCTTTTACTTTTCCAAAATGACTAGGTATGATACGAGGCAAATGAATAAACTACATGCTCCCTATCTCTGATTCTACATTTTATACTCCAAAATCTGATTCATTATTTTTGTGACATTCAGTGTGTAAAATGCATTGTTTTTGTGTTTGTAGATTTAACTAAGTATGAAATCAGTGATAGTGATGATGATGATCTCCCATTCAAATGCTTCATATGTAGAGATTCTTTCACTCACCCCATTGTTACTAAGTAAGTATGTTTTATAAAGTGGTTTTACAATAAACGGGTGGAGGGATTTGTTCTCAACAAATCAGCTGTCTACAATTTTATTAATCTATGTGGTAAATCACATATTTGAGATTGGGATGATATTGGGATTAGAGGGATGATATCAGATATGGTATTTTCTAAAATTCAAATTTTTTCAGAAATTTTCATTTTTTCAAGTTTTCAATAAATTTAATTTTTTCACTACATTTTTTCAAAATGTTTTATTTTGAAAAAATTACATTTTTTCAAATTTTTTCATTTTTCAACATTTTTCTCATTCAAAAGAGGATGTTAGGTACATATCGCTCTTTACCATGGTATAAGGTCGTTATCCAACTGTCAGGATAATTTGAGGAATATCCCTCCGATGATATCAATTTTCCTCTGTTACTGCATTCCTTCGAGAAATATTGATATCATCCTTGTGATATTTCCCATATCAAATCCCTCCTGGTGAATAATTTCTTTTTTAGCCATCATTGAAACCTGATATTTCTCAGAATCAATCTGAAAAGTGAAGTACAGTGGCCCAGTGGCTGAATTTTGCCTCCGAAATTGCACCCATTTCAAGGATTCTTAGCAATAATTACATGAAGTCTTACGGTGTCTAAGACTTATGGATCATCCCTCGTATATATAGTATAGTAGTATTGCATAAAATCTTCTCCCAAAAATATTTCTTTTGGGTTGCATCTCAAGTGTTTTCCATATCAATTGGAGAAAAGAATTTTCACACAGACCACTGTTAAGTACAATATTTTCTCTTTATTAGGTGTAAGCATTACTTCTGTGAGAAATGTGCACTTAGTCATTACAAGAAAAGTAAGCGGTGTTTTGTGTGTAATGAACAGACAATGGGAGTCTTCAACCCAGCAAAAGGTAATCTACGACCCCATCTCTGAAATATTGAATTTTAGAATCCTAATATTAAAATGTATCGTATGATCTGTAAAATGAAGCCTTCTGATTGGTCAGTTCTTGTGCTGTACCAATCTGTATTGCTACCGAGATTGATCATCTCCGTTGCAATACAGAAAATATTGGTACGGAGGGAACAATCTCAGTAGCAATACAGAGGATCACACAATAAAAACGTTAGTGAATGATTTGAAGTGCAATACAGGATATATTCTGTCTCGATATTCTGTATTGGCACTCAACTTCGTCTCGTTCCAATACGGAATTTCTCGAGCAGAATATATCCTGTATTGCACTTAAAATCATTCAATAACTTATAATATTAAATGGCACCACTTCGCTTATGTAAAACAGGAATTTCAGAGTAAATCACATATCTTTCATGGTAATATGTTTTTGTATAACCATATTCCTAAATTGTTACTTGCAGAGCTTATAAGCCGATTAGAGAAGAACAAAGTTGACAATGACATTGTAGAAGACAGTGACAGTGAAGAGGGATGACTGGTATACAGTGAAACATTCTCAGTTAATCCATCCCTTCACAGTTGACCACAGACTGTAGTATTACAATGATTAAGGGCACTTGGTATATCATTGTTACAGCATCATTGAGGAACCATTGCTACTTGTAGTTTGTGTTGTCATATCCTGTTACAATCTGACATGCATTCAATTTGAGCATGTTTTCACATACAAAGTCAGTCTGCTGAGGGGTTTCCCCAGAATTGATACAGAGCACTCAGATATGCATTCAGATGTTTGAAGGTGTGCACACTACACACTTTCATATTAGAAAACAATCCAGATGGTTCAAAAATGTCTACCTGGTGTAGAATATTTGACTAGCCAAGATATTATGCAGTATAAACTCTAATTATGGAAAAGACCTTCTCATTTATGATAAAATCTTAAATTTTATGTTATATGTATGAAATATTGCTATACACATACAGAATATAATTGTAAAAGATTGGTAGCAGAAAAACTAACTTTTCTGTTTAGGCATTTTTGGGTCACCCTTTATTAGGGATCACTACTTACAAGTCATGAAAGACCAGATTATGGATCTACACTCTGAGAGCTTTCACTCCACATCTTGCATGGATTCACTCTAGTATCACTTCACATCTTGAGTGGATTCAGTCTAGTAGTGCACAACCTTAACTGGCCCATGTCAATCAAGTGCTTCAATAGGCTGAAGGATTTTATATGTTGGCCATTGAAATGTTATCACTAAGGAGGTTAAGCTTGCATATAAATCGTTCAGCTTTAGTGTTTATGCTTAGAAAAGGAGTGAGAATGGAAATGCTTTTTCTATTGTTTCCTGAATATACTATGTTATAGTTATGTTACGAGATTTTTTCAAAGAAATATATCTGCATGAGGCTACACTGCAGCATGCATGCGTCACATTCCTATATCAACTTTCTACACTTAAATCTTTCTGTTAACATTGTGAAAACAGTGGAAGCGTTAACCTCTCTATTGAATTCCATTTTTCACTAACCTTGTACCCGGCTACCAGATTAACCTACAATTTTATTGACAACTCATTTGAATATAAATGGAATAGTGGCAGGTACTATTCATATTTAAATGAGTTACCAATAAAATAATAGGTCAATCCAGTAGCTGACAGGCGTTAGTTGCATTCGCGAATACAAGCTGAGAAAAAGTACAACTACATGTACATGAGTAGAACTCTTGGAGATGCCAGTTGCTTCATGTCAGGTCTTCCTGATAAAATAGAAGGGATGAAAGAGAATAATTCTTTTGTATTGAATGATTTTAATTTTGTATCTTAAAATAAACAATTTAAACACAATTTGAACAAGTTTTTATATTAGTTTACTATATTTATTTGTACAATACTTATACATTGCATCTAAATAAAAACATCAATAGTTGAAATCCCCAAATATGTGACATATATTATAACACAAATAAAATATTTAAGAATCCCTTTCAATACACTATTATAGTAGGTAGTACTAACATAGTGTATCAAGTATATATAACATAAACATTTAAATAAATGTATACCAAAATATAATAACATACCGGTATGTGTATTACTATACTCTCTTTGAAGAGTCTTGATTTCGTGAAGTTGCCTGTTTGTTGAAATACTCGTATTTATCATTTGAGCAAGAGTTAACTATATGATCTTGTATCAAGTTTGTTATTTCCAAAATGATTATATTTCCCTACCCATGTTAGTGGGGTATGCAAACATGCTTGATGCTAGATTTCAAGATATTACACATTTTGTCATTTTGACTTGCTTAGAGTATACTTTGTTCTAGTTTTAAGTGTAGTTGATATTTTCCCATCTTTAAGTGTTACATACAATTTTTGCTGTTACTTTGAACTGGAATGTTCTTAATCATAATGTTCAAGGTACCATACAGTAATACAGTTAACTATGCTACCATTTTCAGTTTGTGAGGTACATTTAGAGTATGGTATCCTATAATACCATTTGAGTATGATACTGTACAGTACCATTGTGGATTACCTGAATATCATTTTGCTCTTCCTAATTTTATTCTTGTGTATTATGTGTTTTGTAAATAATGTTGAGCTATAAATGGCAGTGATTGCTTTTTAAGTGATCCAAGACTGTACTTAGAGTACTAAAGAATGGCACATATATTCTTCTATATTCCTAACTAACTAATTATCTACAGAGTAGAGATATAGAGAAGCCGTTTGTTTGTCCATCTGTCTGTTTGGATGTCTGTTCAGCAATAACTCAAATATGGGTTATGGCTTTGGTGCCTTAAAAAGCATAGAGCCTCTGCCTCAGAATGAATTTCAAATATGGCCGCCATTTTTCGTTAAAAATGTAATTTTTGACGACTGACATACCAGTTAATAAATTAAGTTTTTATATGTCAAGATGGATTTTAAGATTTTGTCCAAATTTAGAGGCTAGTGTCTCAGGAGAAAAGAACCTCTGTTGGAAACTTAAAAATCGCCACCACATTTTAGTTAAAAAATAATAATTCAATTTGATGCCTTATAGGCGTAGCACTATGCTCATGAAGGAATTTCCAAAATGGCTGTTTTTAAAAGTTCAGTCAAATCTACTCATGCAGTCAATCAGTAAGGCTACTAAAATCACTCATTTCTTAAATCGCTAAGGCGAATTCTACCACTAAGCCCCTTTTTCAAAAACCAGTTACTTACTTTAACCTCTAGAATACCAACCAGGGTAAAAAGGGTTTGAAACCAGAGAATTTTTCATTTTTTGCCATTTTTTTAACATTAACCTCAGTAAATACACAATATCTGATGTTTGATTTCATACGCCTACTAAGCATACAGTCATTACATACATTTCAAAACATAATTTGTGTACATTGGTTAAAATTGTTAAAGCAGTTTTAGTGAAAAATTCAGTTCCAGATATATCTGTCTCTCTGGGTTCTCATTGTATTTTATGACAGAAATATCCATCATTCTGGTTATTCAAAAGGTTAATAAACCAGATTTTTGAAAATAGGCCTACTGACCTAAGATTAATGAATACAGACCTTTCTACTTATTTTGAGAAATGGATGTTAATCAATGCAACCATCTCTTTAATGTACATACTTTTATATATTACTCATACTACAGTGTGCCTACAACACTACCAGCACATGTTAACAAATTCTTAAAGGCTCCATGTAAAGTTTGAAAATATGTTTTATAATTCATTTATAACTAGGTTAAAAAGAAGAATATATTATGTCTTTAATATTATTGTATCATTGGTCTCTATGAGAACTAAAATTTGGAAATGCTTTTTTCTCTAAACCACTTTCATGCATTGTTGAGTTCATTTCTTGCATCAACCAATTTTCTTAATTTAAAAAAAAACATGTGAGTGAATGCTATGCATTAGTGTGAATTTTAGTTTTTAAATTAATTCACGATTTTTCGAACAAAACATCCTTCAAAATCCACTTTTTGAAAAAAAATCACATATCACATTTTGGTATCATTGGGTGAGACTACAATATAAGCCGAAGTGGTTTAAACTTTACATGGGACCTTTAATAACAATATTATATTTAAACATCCTTGAGCCTCTTAGACACACAGTAACACAATTGATCATAAACTTTTTCATTATTTAATTGAGCATTACAACATATAAATATAAATCAACAGAAACACTACAATTTTATTTCATACCGGTATAGAACTGAGCTTTTTACAGTGTAACATTTCATGTACACTATGAGCACAATTTGAGCGTATTTATACAGAATCCCATGGGAAGGATGAATCGATCATTCAACTATATGCATTGTCCAAAAAATATGGATACATTGGATATGTATCTCAAACTTCGATGGATTTTGGGTTGATAATACCCGTGAGGTGAGGTATAAGCTGTATCTGAGGTGTAAGAAGACTTGGTATTAGATTGTGATTTCAACATCTTCATGAATCATTGGAGAAGGGTGGGATAAATAAATCACATGTATACATATACATATACAGGGTGTCAAATAAATATGTTCTCCCCCTTAATTTTAAAAGTATGAACTTTTGAGCAGGTGCATTTAGTTATCAACTAGTTATCTGCAACTTTTTGTGACATTAGTCTATGGAGTCTAATTCTATGTTCTCAAGAGCAATTCAGTTATCATGCAGACAAAAAAGTTATGCAACACAGGCCCGTAGCCAAGGGGTGGGGGTTCGCAGTGTTCGTTGGTAGTCTCCTCTGGCTGAAAATTCTTTCAAAATCATGCAGTTTTTCAACATTTTGAGCACTTCTCAAGTGATTTTAGCCATATTTGGGCCAAAATTGTAAAATGTGAGCCCCCCCCTGGAAATTTTTGAAAACTGAAGCCCCCCTTGGCAAATCCTTGCTACGGGCCTGCAACATTATGTGGATGTTAAAGCTAAGGGGGGATATTTATTTGACACCCTGCATATAGTTCATTCCATATAGTTCATTCCATATAGTTTTACACTTGTTCATAACACACATATATACATCACACACATATATACATAATCCAGCATGGACACCAACTATGACAGAATGAGCCGATTTTCTTCTATTACTGGCCATATTTAGGACTATATTTTTATTATAAGGAATCATCTCATAAGACCGACGTCTGAATGTTAAATCCATTTTCATTTGTTCATTTCTACTTCATTATACTGATTTAAAATTGAAAATAGTTTACATCTAAGTTATATATGACTTCTTTGAAACCAATTCATGTTTTACAAATAGAGTTGTAGTCCTACACGGATCTTATGAGATATTCCCTAAACATAAAGCAATGAGACTACTGGCATAATATACCCATACATGGTATAGATACATTTTCAGTGAATGAACACCACATTTGTTATTTATTATATATGGTATGGTTCAAATGTTGAACAAAAATCTTGGATTGAATATAGCATAAGTTTAACTCTTGATTTAAAAATAATTAATCCATAATTTAAACCAAATCAATTTTATAGTGAATATTTAAGATCAACTTGTCGTGTTATTTCAATTATGGCATTTCCATGACAACTTCCCTTCTTTTTCAATCAGAAAATGTAATAGTCTGAACTATGAGGTAGTTTTGAGTAATAATGCAAATTTTAGGAATCAATCATGAAGAAGATGTGTGGATTGATATTTATACTGTATTAGCAAATTATCTAACATTTTATGTCACGTGGTATTTGGCATTACGAGTAATTTTGAAATGATGATGACTGCATGGAAAATACCTTCTTGGTCAATTTTTCCAGTTCATAATATGTAATGTTTTTCTTTTCAAAACAGGTAATATATTCTAAATACGTATGGAACCAATTTAGTAATCCCGAACCAAATGTTGTCACTCTAGTTGTAACAAAATCTGGGAAAAAATCTGTTCTTTGGAATGTGTGAAATTGGCAAGACGTGAATGTGACAAACAGTGTTCATTTCATTTAAAGATGGGCATGCGGTATAAATGGGAGGCAGTTTAATGGAACAGCCAAAATAAAAGAATTTTTGATAATTACACAAAGCTGGTCAATTTTCTCAAATTTCATATTGATTGAAAAAATGTATTGCTTCCAATTTTGCCATGCGTATCCTTCAATGTTTTGGGGGTCATATTATACTGTTAGATTTCAACTTAATTTATTTGGTTAGGTTGTATTAGGGCATTTAAAAATAAATAATTTGGATGTAACCTGATAATTTAATGGAAGTTGCTGGCAAGTGTGAAATCCCCTTATAAGGTTTTACATTTTAAAATCAATTTCTAACTTAGTCTTATGACTATCAAATTCATTCAAACTAAAAAAACACATTCTAGACAGATTCCCTACATTGCATAAAATCCTGTGAAAATTGTCGACCCAATTTGGAATTCTTTAAGAATAATGTGGTAGCTTTATGGAATGCAACTGTGTATGTACTGTAATATAATAATATTACAGTGTTCTATTCTTGTTATTCTTCCATTGTAGGTCTAAGTTTACTTTCCATCAGTAAATCCCTATTCTTCAATTATTAAGGCAAATAGCTGTATAATATGGTAGATAGTCACCTAATTTGCTCTTTGGGTGAATATGTTTAAATTAAATGTGACTATATCATCTTAGAATCTAACTATATACAGTTTCATATTATGTATATTGTATATACTATCTCTAGTCTTCATCCCTCTCTGTCACATAGGTTTCCATGACAACAAAACTAATACAACTCATATTAATCTCACGTAGTAAAAGTATCTAAAAGCACATAACCTTACATTTCTTCAAAAGCAAATGTGTTCAAATTCCACTGTACATTGTCCATTAGGTATCACCAATACAATAATTTTTGATTCGAACCATATCTCAATGTTAACACTTCGATATACGTAAATGTGTATTAATCGCTCTAAAACCACAAAATTAGTGCAACTATTAAACACATTGCTTATTACTAAAATGGTTACATTCACTTTCCTTGAGTTAGCTCTTCAAAAGTTTTTTTTAATTTTCGCTCAAGTTTTGTTGTGTCAATTTAGTATGGTAAGAATAAGATGTAAAAGTTCATTTGAAAAAACAATTATCAATCATATTTAAAATAAGTGATCAACATGAATGATGAATTAAGGTGATTTCTAACGATCATACCAGTGCGTCAAGCAAACGTGTGACATCTATTGTCCACTGAATATATTATACACATACTGTCATACAAAAAACACTTGACCAGTCCACCACCCAAAGAACACATGTACTTCTAAATTCAATTGATTATATACATCTAGTTAATCAGACATCTTAGTTTTTCATAACACCTTATTTAACACGACACTCAGTTTTCTGTGACATTTCAGTTTGATAATCCCCATGTGGCAATTGTGTGAATGCAATCTCAGTTTTCACCCAGTTTTATCCAATTATATTGATACACTATCTTAACAATGATGCCCAATTTTCTAAGACATTTCAGTTTAATTGTACCCATGTATTCATAACATAAATGTATTTTTACATGGGGAGAGAGCCATATTATAATTCTAGCATTAACATAATACATTGGCAAGAAATCTAGACAAGAGTAGGAAAAATAATGGTTTGAAAATGTTTAATTTTTGTTTCGTATTTTTTTCAATGATTTTCAAATTATGCATGTTCGATCTTGAAAAAATAAAATTGAAGTTTACCAACTTAAGTTATGCTTACTTCTCTGCCATTTCCGAATCATACTTTTCCTAATCAAGCTGGGATTTATTATGGTGATTCCAGATTTAGTTTTTCCCCTACATTTCTTTGTTAGAAAATATGACATCAAGACACTTTTACAGATATCATTTAAATCTTAGTTTCTGATGGACCCCTTATGCTTTGTATTTCTTCAAGAGGTACATACTCATTGGAGATGCCATTCACCAATTCATTACCATTAGAGTTATTTGCATTCCCAGCAAATCCTGGTGACCGACTAGATATTCGTAATCCTTCATTCCTTGGATATATCTTCAGTATTTCCATAACTGCTCCCAGAATCTATATCAGTTATTTCATATTTGTTCGAATTACTCATATTTTCTGGTTTGAAAGCAACTACATTATCAAGCATTTCTTTGTCAATTGGAGTGTGTTGAGCCTTTTTTCTGACGTTTCCTGTGGAATGCATATCCAGAGCAGTGTTTATATGAGCAATGCTATCGGGTGGAACATCAACATTCTTAACAATGCCAATATCATTGTTTATATCATCTTCATCATTAACGAAGTCATGACCATCAGGGTGGACATCTTGACACCCACTATCATAATAATTATCTTCATGCTTTAGGTTGGTACTAAAATCTTGGTCAAGTTCTGAGTTGTTACTGTTTCTTTTTAACCCATGAGAATGTGCGGTATGTGAGTCTTCTGAATCATCACGCAAACTGGGAGCTGCTGATTCTTGCGGACAAGAGGTTGAAATCTCGGAAAGATCACTGTTTCTATATGGTTCTTTTGTTGATTGTCCTGCATCCATTCCCACAGGAGTGTAACTATCTAAATAATATGGTGTCCCACTTGAGGGAATTGTACCAAATCCACTACTTGTATTATCCTCCAAAGAGACATTTTCAGTTTTTACACTTTCATTAGAACCCAGGCATTCCAATGTCTTCAATTGTTTATCATCCTTGTTGTGCATTTTTGTCCCAGGAATGTGTTTGGGTATGTACATCTCTGATTGAAATGGCGATTGCATCGTTGCATGCACTTGATTAACAATGTTAATGTCATCTACATAGCCATCTTCATTGACACATATACATGGGGCATGAAGATGCTGATATAACCCCAAGGTGCCATTACTCTCAACTGGGGTATTACCATTAGGCTGAGACTCACATTGAGTGCCACCAGGTTCTGATTCAACATCAGATTGTGCTTTTAATACTACAGAAGCCTCTTCTGCAGCACCTACTTCACTAGGACTAGGAATCACTTCAACAAGTTCAATTGCACTTTCCCCTAAGTCTGTCTCTCCAGTTGCCCCTGTTGTGTTTGTTCCGGCCAAGTATAATGTGTCAGGGACTAGGAGGGGAGCAATCTGAAGGGCAGAACATAAACAGAGATTTAACAGAGCTACCTAGTAAGTATTCAAAAATGAATTTCAAATATTACAATAGATTGATGTCCTGACTGTAAACTATAGCCTGCAAACAAGATAAATGGTACAAGCAAACAAACTGAAAGATTGCCTAAAAAGATGATGTATTTATTAATTACCTCTGGTCTATTTCCCAAGGTTTGAGGTAGATCCCCATAGGGTTTCGCATACCCATGGTCACTTGTACTACTAGCTTGAGAAAGCATCCTTGTATATATCCCTGGCTCACTATCAAACACCTGAAAATTCAGTATGAAAAGCTCACACCATATTCTCTCTATAGATTAACTGAATGCATATAAATGTAGAATGCTTCTTCCATTCTCCACACATTTTGTGTTGAAAGGTTCACACTCAACATTGCATTCTCCTGTGTTTTAAAAGGTTGGCACTTACCAGAGTTTTTAAATGTTGGCACTCACCTGTGTGTTAAAATATTGACAATTTCATGTGTATTAAAATATTGGGTCTAACCTGTGTGTTAAAAGGCACTGATGAGTCTTGGGGAACAGTAATCTCCTGTCTTTCTGACACCTTCTTGTAAAATATTCTTGAGTACCTAAATACAAAGAAAATAAAAAATGAAATATAACTAGACACAAAAAACTAGAAAATGACAACACAGAGTAGCAAATCCCAGCAAACAGGCTATTTATGAATATGAATGGAAATATGTCCCAATATAATATTTGTTGAAATAATTGTATACATAAGGGTTATGTACAGGGAGGTTTTGAATATGGGGTTTATCCAGAGGAAAATGTGCATATCTTACGAGGGATAAACCCCATATCCAAACCGACTGTACATAAATGCTTTATCCTATACCCAGTAGAGTTTTCTAATTTTTATAATATTATAGGAATATCCTTATTTGCACATAAAATACCATAAATAAGTAAATTCACAATATACATAATGTCTATAAAATAGATACATTTCATTGTTAAAGTGCTAAAATGTGTACCTACATACAAATATTGTATATTACTTTGTTTGGAAAACTAAAATGCCATTTGAGTATTAAGTAATACTTTTCATACTTAGAGAGATCTCAACATTAACAAAAATTTCTACTTTCTCAACTCCTGTCCATGCCCCCTGGGGATCAGGCCGAAAAAATTATTTATGGATATACATGTACCACCAAAATTTCAAACAGTAATACCCATTACTGGTTGAAAATGAAAAACTTAAATTTTTGTGAAAGATTCCCGCAGTGGTCATCTTGAAAATATTTTTTTTGCATAAAACTGTTTCCCAATACATGTGTATACATTTCCACTGAATATGAAGAAAATCTGTCCAAAGGTTTTTGAGTTATTTTCTGAAGAGATGGACTGACAGATGGAAGACTTCACTATATGCCTATTGAAAATTGTTGGGATAATTAACAAAACTTCGGCACTTGATTGTCCAGAAATCTTTGGAACACCCTGTTAAAAGATACTGTCACCTCAGGATATAGATCTACATAAAACATATGACAAATCTAGCTGGTATATGGATTGGTGATTTACCTTATGCATACAGCAAGAAACACAGCTAAAACTACTGCTCCTATTACACAACTCACTATCAACAATGTGATGTTCACACCTGTGAATGAAAAATAAAATCATGTGTAAGATGACATGATACCATACGAGTATATGCTATGTGAAGGTTCATGCCATAATGAAATACCAAATAAATACTAAAGGACCCATACACAGAACAATAGAACATATTTTACAATACCGAAAAACTGTTGACATGGATTTAGTGTTGTAATACCTGTAGCACATATCTCCAACTGCTCTACAGAACTCCAAGGACCACTTAACAGCTCGCCATGGTCCTCATTTACAGCCTGGATGCTTACATTGACCGGTTCATTACTGATGTTGTCACAATCAAAGTCTATGATATCTTCGGTCATGTTTGCAACTCTTACTGTGTTAACATTGCTTGAGCCATCTGCACTTTCTATTCTGATCGTGTACATTGTATGAAGTCCATTGGTAATTAGAGGAGAATCCCATTCTAGCTTAAGTGAGGCATTCTTCAGCGTTTCCATTTGAAAATTAAGCACCATTCCAGGTTCTATAATCAAAGATAATGATCATTTCAAGGGACAATTAGGACTCAGAGAACAACTATTCAAATCATTCTTTAACATGCCTATTTTAGAAAGCAACAGAATATTAACATGCACATGAATTTCCAAAATTTTATCATTTTTACATTAGTTTTTAAGTTTTTTACAAATGCCGACCCAGAAATAATATACAAAATTTGGCCAATGTTTACAATTTAAAGAAAATTGATTGAATACTTTTGGAACTATGACCAAAAAGAGACTCTCCTTGATAATTAAAACAAAACTTCATTAAAATATTAAGAAATGAACAATGCCATGAGAGAAAATGGGGAGTAACTTACCTCCCATATGTGTCAATGCTTGAACCCTGTCAGAAGGGGGAGAACATGGATTATGACTCTCTAATACACAAGCCTTCACAAGGAATGAGTAGAGTACTTGTCCATGTAGATTGTGAACTGTAGACATTGTCATGTTTCCAGATACCTCACAGGAACCATTCAGAACATCTGACTGCAATATAATGCAAAACACAACCTTTCAGTTTTAGAACACTTTTTATTTCTGAAGTCTAAACAACTATGAACGTCCATTAAGCATTCTTTATTACTCAGCAATGACTGAGAATAGAAGAAAACACCGATCACAAATGTTGGAAATACCTCAGAAACAATTTCACAGGGTCGAAGTGTTCATGATGTGATAAAATATCAGCAAAATGTTATGGCAAATGTAATTCAATAATAACAAGGCATAAATATGCAAAATGCCACCACCTGCCATTTGTTACAGAAATAAATCAACAAAAACACCAAACTGCCAAATACCAAACACAAACCACTGTACACCATCCACAAAAAATTTGGAGACTATAACAATATGTTGGTGACATAAAAATAATATTTTACATATCAGTTACTTACCATGTATTCCACAATGTAATGTGTTATGTTACCATTAGTGGTAGGGCTTGGGTTCCAGCCAAGACTCACAGATGATGCTGTTACATTTCTGATATAAAGCCCTGTAGGAGATGAGCTTGGCGCTAAAAATATAGAGCACATATATTAAAAATTAAAATTACAAATCTGGTTCTGTCTGAAATAAGTTTTTTGTCATTGTATTTCTCTATATTCCACATTGCATGACACTGTTGGCATTAGATTGAACTTTTCATCTATCTTAATGCATGGGGATAATCTTTTCTCCATCTCTTCATTAAAATCATAAGATCATCTTTATATAGCAGAGATTAAGACACCCCAGGGGGCGTATGGCTCATTACAAGCTAAACTATTTTGAAAAAGCATCCATGGTTATAATAAGGGTTAATGATACACTATATTCTAAAAAAAAAAGTTATACCCAATTTAACACTGCTGTCATTGATAAAGCCATATTTTTTATTTCTTTAACCCTATCAATGCTACAAAAAAAGGCAAATATTTCATTTTGCTGCTAATTCAAGAATGAAGAGCTTTTGCCTCAGTGCTAGACTTTTCATGGTAAAATGGAGAAAATTAGGCCCCGGTATATCTGACTTCATAACTTAGTCATTATTTCCGATGGAACCATGTATGATACATCGTTGGAAAGCTAAAATGATTATCTTGATGAATAAATTATTCAAATATGCAAATTAGATATGACGTCATCAATATGGCCGCCATTTTACTTATTAGAAAAATAACGCTGTAAAATACAATTCATAGGTAATCATGAATTAATCCATTTGCCCCTACATCACATCCAATCAAATATAAATTATAAAATAGGACAAAAAACTAGACAAAAATATAATTGCCCATGAATTTGTCATTTGCAGATGATATCTGGAACAATTCATAGCACCGTCGGCCGACCATAACGTTTATAATCTTATCAAATCTCATTTTCTACTAAAATCCTTGATTTTTTTACCAAAATATTGATGGTATTACAAAAACAATTAATTATTACATTTGTGTCTTATTTTGTCTACTGATATCAATACATAATATAAATATGAAGTTAATTAAATCATTCTGGATCAATACATGTATAGAAGATAAGAGAATTCTGTTACCATGACAACGGGTAAGTGGATGAAACATTTTGTAAGAATTTGCAATTTACAGTACAATTAATTCACTAGCGTCCAGATTGATTTCAATTCTATCCTCAAAAAAAAATCTGCTCAAAGTTTTAACTTATTGTTGGCATTATGGCAATGAATATATGTTACCATGGCAACAGATTATGGTTTAACTTGACAAGTCATGCTTAGTTTGTTTGTTTGTTTGTTTGTTTTATTCATTATTTATATTGAAAAGTTACAATCGTATAAATTGGACATTTAGATTGATTGATTTATGCCTCTTGTAATTTCCTTTAATTTTTCCCATCGTTTTTACATTTCAACCTACAGATTGTTGGTTGAAGAAGGTATTGAATGAGATATACTCTGTGCTATAGTACTACTGTAACTTTATATTCATGTCCAATGTGTCTGCCAGCAGGAGTTGCCCAAACTCATATCCTCTCCTCTTGCTGTTTAGAAGGAACACTTCATATGAACCCCTTTCCACATTCTGTCCTGGAATGGTGACAGGTCCCTAGCTGGCTACACAGAACATACTGCTTTTCTTGTTGTCAGGTAATATCCCTGGCCAATGGCTTAGTGCATTAACTAAAGTGCAGGACAGGAGGCAGTTGCAAGGCCCTCAATCAGGTCAATCATAAATGAGCATCTGAAAACAAACATCAGTAATATTATTTATAAATGTTCACTTACATTGAAATCGATATATATATTGTGATGTATATTCAAAATTGTAATTGATATTAAAAGAAAATTAAAGAAAATATCATTTTATATCAGTTTCTTTAAAATAGATACAATACATTTGTTACATGATTACACTGCCATATGAGGGTTATGGAAATTCATTATCAGACTTGACAGTCAAGGGGCTAGCTAATGATATGAGCAGCTGTTGAGAACAGTTGCAAACTCGACACCTACTGTAGTGAAAAGATTACCGGATTTTCTCGCATATAAGCCCTGGGCGTATAACTGAAAGAAGGGGTAATTTCGTCTGTTATTTTACCTCTTATTTTTCACCCATGGGCGTATAAGTGTACTACTTTCGATTTTTGGCACAGTGGGCGTAAAGGTGAGAAGAGCTGATGAATACAATGGTTTCTCAAAGACTACCGTACCTACTGTTGTAGTCCTACCGCATGTTTTGTAAGAATTATAAAGGAAATGTCAACTTCAACCTTGGACTTAATGTTGAAACAAAGTAACAACAGAACGATCCACCACTGCCACTTACTGCACAGCGTTGAACTTAATGTTGAAACAAAGTAACGATAGAACGATCTGCCAGTGACAAAATACTCTAGAATTTATTGAAAAAATCAATAAATAGTCATTTTTATAGGCCCATGGGTGTATAAGCGTACTACATTCGATTTTTGGCCCATGGGCCTAAATTTAGGGGGGTGTATATGCGAGAAAATCCGGTAGCTAGTATATGTACATGTATGTACCAAAAGTACCCTCTCAATGATCAGTTTCGACCATACCTGTAGCTCATGCTGACATGAGTTTTCTTAAACTACATACCTTTGCATTGTCTTTTCTGTATCTGTGTGCTCCATATACAATGTAAGAGTTAAGCAGCATTCAACTGAGTATTGCAACGCCCACTTTATGCCAGTATTGGAGTTCATCCATCACTGTGTGATCATTTGATCTGTGCTATCGACTGTCCCCATCGGTTGTTATCCTGCAATATGTAAATGATTAGGCTATCTGATTATCATTTGTATAACAAATATTAGTTTTACTTATCATATGAACGAATTTCAGAAAATGCGCTATATGTTCAATAAATATTTTGTACAAATCTATGTACCACGATTCCTTTCTTGAGACATGTATTTCACTGAGTCTGTTCAATGTGTTCTTTCTACTGTTTAGTAGTTACAATATGCACCAGTCAGAAATAACATACAAATATTTATTTCTATTGAGGTTGAATACCTGTGCATCTTTCACTAGTGATATTTCACGAAGCCCGAAGTGCAAGTGGAATATCTTGTGAAAGTGTCAAGTGTCAAGCATTCACCAAAAATAGAATTAAATATTTATTTTATTATTCACTGTTATATTCCTCACTCACATATTTGGAATGACAAACTATTGATTTCTAATTAATCATAACAATGTACCCCCGAATATATACAATCAAAATTACACTGGACTAAGTTGTGACAGATGAATATTGCTTGTTATTTTTGTTGATTTAATTTCAGTAGTACCATTCTTCTGTTTTCAGGGTAAACTAAATCAAATGTCTGAGAGGAACAAAGAAAAAAAATAAAATAAAGTTATTTCATGTAACTTGTCTAAAGATATATGGCATTAACCAGGAAAGTTATGCACTGTTCCTGTGGTGTGAATATGTTTTAAATGTGAAAGCAAAATATAAAAGTGTAAAAATAGGGTCTTGTATTACATATTTTCACAGAAAGTTATCAAGGTAAAAATTTTACCTCTTGCTCATAGAGACCAGTCCCGCAATCAGAGCAATGTTTTCATGGAGAGTATTATGGCAGAATTCCCGTTGAACGCAGAAATCAAGCACCTGACCTTGCAGCTTGATATAGGGGTTGCAGCCAGGCTTGTCTTCAACTAATGCAACCTCATTATTGTTCATGTGCCAGAACCGCAAAAGTAGCTGAAATCGGTCTCTTGTAAAGTTTTTTCCTAACTGGGGGTTGCCTGATTCCATCTATAATGAGAAAATGCATAGAGGTTATTTACTTGGAGGGATTGAACGTGGGGTTTATTTCCCTAGGATCATGATTTTTCATTTTTCGAATTTTCTTTTCTAAAATTAAATTCTTTTTCCTTCAAAAATCTTAATTTTGGGCCAAATTTTTCATTTTAGGCCGAATTTTCATTTTTTCATACACAGTACTTTATATCATTTTACTTCATGATTTGAATTCATACATTACAAAATGTTTTTATTTTTTTTATTTAGTGACCTGTTTCTGTACATGACCTATAAAATACTGTATAATCAGTCTTCTGATTAGTCTAATTAATCTTATGAAAAGGTTATTGTGTCACAATAATGGCAATACACATATGTTCAGGGTTGGCTCTGGAAATTGACTTGCGGGACTTGAATTTAAATAAATGAGCTTTGGGTCCACTTTTTTCAGAAATGCCCAAGAAAAGTACAAAGAAACGGCCTCTTAGCCTTTAGGCCGAGAATGACACCTGCCTTTCCCCTTGGCCATCAGTGATAAAACAAACATTACGTGTTTTTGTCCAATATGACTCCAGTGTTGCTTTCTGAATCAAACACATATTTAGCAGCATCTCAATGAAGGCTTTCATTCAGAGATGGATGTACTGTATTTTCCCACTGTATAGCCTACTGCAATCTTTGAGAAACTCCTCTTCTCTTTGTGCTGTAAAGGAAAGATCATTGTATATAAATATTTATTCCATAATTATAATAGCATGTTTTCCCTGGGAAATAAATAAGATTTCGCATCAGACAAAATCCTGTTTCAGATCCCATATTGGATCCGATATCAGAAGAATTCAATTGTATCATTTTATATCACACCATCATTGGGTGATGACATTCAAAACTTATAAATAAGTTTCAGTTGTGTTGGGGTATTAATATTTTCCCTGAGAAAATATGATATTGATCTTGAAGAATATCACTTTGACACTTGGGCTATTGCCCTCGGTCAATATGATATTTTCCTTGGCCAATATTATATTTTCCCACAGAATAAAATTCATATACCATCCTTCCCATTAAATAATCTCTATATAACATAACATTTACTATATACAAGGAAGTAGCCATAATGGAAATGAGGGAAATTTCAAAAAAATATTTATACTGAAGCTGAAGTAGAGTGTTTACCTAAATTTAAATCTGCCTCTTCCAGAGATCAAATTGATTTTATTGGGGCAATACTAGAATAATGTGCTTTCCTTTATCTTCACAGACTTAATATACACATACTGTCCAAATAAATGTTTTCCTGAAAAATGGTGGTGAGGCAAACGCCTCACCTGTCTCAAGTTTGGCTTCACCCATGTTACAGGTACAGGTACTGTATAACTACAGTTGGGGACAAAAATAAATGACAGGTCGATTTTCGATCACCATTTCCTAATTATGGTCGTCTGAAAGCCCAACATTTCCAATATTGTCTAGATACATATCCCTTAAAATTTGTATATTTCATATTTTGTATAATCTCATCCACTGATGTATGGCCTCTTGAAAATTCTCTTATTTTTAACATGGGAAATTCTCACTTCAGCAAATCCACCTGTCATTTATTTATGTCCTGAACTGTACCTGTATGAATACAGTAGATAAAAAATTATTGGTACATCCCTTTTCATATACAAATATGACCTTCATGCTGAACAAATACTGTTAAACACTTTTGTACATGTTGTAATGTATTGTAAAACACATTGTATTGTACTATACTACATTAATTATAATCAATATCATAAAGCTTGTACATGTACATAAATTGCAATTATGTACTTTACTCTAGTAATATTGGTAAACACTGAAACACTGTTTAATTGCCTACCTGTACATTGCAGTTGTTCAGCATAACATTTCACTGTACTTTCAGCAGTCATATGATCCCAAACTCCATCCATGTATTAATCAAAGTAAATATCATTGATGCGGCATTTGGTATTGTTTGCTTTGTCTGGTTCCTAAAACATATATTGTCAGCTACACAACAGTATAGCGCTTCACTTTATTCAGTGACTGACTATGTTGTAGTCAAAGCAGGGATTAAAAAAATAAATTGAGGCGGGACAACTAAGGCAAAACTGGACTGAAATACAACATTACTGTAATTCAATTAAAAAACATCTGACACAGATTGGAACATAAATAAATGACAGGTGGATTTGCTGAAGTGAGGATTTCCAATGTTAAAAATGTTGGAAAGTATGGGCTTTCAGATGGCCATGGTTGGTGATAGAAAATCCACCTGTCCACTTGAGTCTCAAGCCAATTCTCACGATATACATGTAGTGGCCTTAGAAGAAGGTAATTCCCAACTGTATTTGTCTTTGAAAAAGTTTGCTATCAGCTCTAGATGCATGGATATTGTACATAGCCATACACGTCAATGTAAAGGAGTATTCGGTATACTAGTATATGTATTGCATTGTCCATGGCAATGAAACAGTGCAATGAAATAGTACAATGAAATGATAAAGAAACAATAAGAAAATCAAAAATAAAATTGAAAAAAAATTCATGAATTCTGCAGTTCATTAGTGGTTTAGACACTATAGAGCCATAAATATCATAAAATCAATAAATATTTGTTATCAGATATACATACAGTACCTTTCTCTGTGTCATTACATTGCAAAAAGACAATGATCCCTCAAGAATATGCGATATATTTAGGAGCAAATTTGTTCATTTTTAACCTGGATGGCGCCATTTTGAATGTCACATGATCACCATGATCAAGTCATGTGACTTAATTTTCCAAGTATGTTATTTGCTCTATTTACACTCTAAATAAAATATGTTCGATAATAGTATTCATCTAATAGTTAGATGAAAATAATTCAGTTCAAATAATTCAGCTGATAACTTACAATGTCGATTATAATTGACACAACTCAAAAAAAATCTTGACTGGAATTTTTCTGGTCCTTCCGGGCTATTTACCTTATCAAATTGTGATCTTTCCTTTGATTGCTGAGGTCCAGGGACACATCTTCACTGATTACAAGGTATGGGAATATTCCCATCATCATCGGACTTGCTTCGGACACCAGAGAGATCAGAATCACTATCAAATAGGCTCTCAATAAAAATCACTGCCATCGTCATTTAGTGCCGCCATTTTTCCCGCCAAATATTTGTTTGAAAATTTGTTTTTATTTTTCCTATTTTTAAAAACTCGATCAAGTTGAGAAAAATGAACAAACAAGCACAGTGTTTCGAAATATTTATTGTTTTAGACATACAATATCATGTTTATTTGTGAAGATCTGCATGTCTTACATAATTACTGAGGGGAATCCCCTTTTACATGGGAATGACGTAAAGCCGATCTCATCGGCTTTAGCACTGAAGCAAAGGTTTTTCAGAGCCGATTTAATCGGCTCTCGCAAACACAAATGTGACGTCAGAGCCGATTAAATCGGCTCTCGCATTGACGGGGTTAAGAACCTCCTATATATAATACATTTTGACAATTATAGTGGAAAGAAAAATCTGCCCACCTGATGGATTAGTTCTGAATATGTGTAGCTTTGAACTCTTTGGTCCCTCATCCAGATTTGTGTAGCTTCTGATATGTACCTCATAATCCGTATTAGGCATCAGTTCTCCAAACATATGTGATGTTATACCAGGCCCAACTCTTGTTACATTAGCGGTACCTGTAAATGTTAAGATTTACCATTTTCAAGATTTAAGATTCATGATTTAATTCAGAGATTTTTTATGTGATGAAATACAAGAATTTGAGGAATTTTGTAACTATTTCAGATAAATATCATAATTTGGTTTTAACAACAACAAAAAATGTTAATTCAGAAAATATTCCTTTGATACCACCTAACAGATGTATAAATCTGAACTAAATGTACAAAGCAATTTTACTGAAATTGTGATAAAGATGATAACAGGATAGCATTTTAATTTAAAGTTTAATTTAACATTAAAGACTACACACCATTCAGACAGTGCGCTTCTGCTGTCCACTGACATATGTTTAAAATGTAGCCCTGTATGAAGACCTTGCTCTCATGACAGCTTGGAGCGCCCTTCCATGCTATACTCAAACTTCTCTCACTTTGTTCCGTTAGCCTCAGGTCACTTGGTGCTGTCTTTGGCACTATAAATCATGGATAATACAAACATCATACCTTTACTTCCGACAAGGAGAATGTATGTCATGAATGTTTGCACTTAGTCAAGTACAGCAGAGATGGATGAATGGACAGATAGACTGACAGACAGACAGAGGCTGAAAATATTGCCTCACATTATGTAATAGAGACATAAAAGGGATAAAACACAACTGTCAATCTTGTCACTTAGATACGAATGGATAGAATCGTATTGTGTTTACATAATAAAACAAAATATTGAATAAAATGCCATGGCAGAGAACAGTGTGGGAGATGTGTAAGATACCATGGCAGAGTACAGTGTGGGAAATGGGTAAGATACCATGGCAGAGTACAGTGTGGGAGATTGATAAGATGTTATGGTAGAGAAGAGTGTGGGAGATGGGTAAGATGTTAAGGTAGAGTACAGTGTGGGAGATTGGTAATATGCCATGGCTGAGAACAGTGTGGGAGATGGGTAAGATGTTATGGCAGAGAAGAGTGTGGGAGATGGGTAAGATGTTAAGGTAGAGTACAGTGTGGGAGATTGGTAATATGCCATGGCTGAGAACAGTGTGGGAGATGGGTAAGATGTTATGGCAGAGAAGAGTGTGGGAGATGGGTAAGATGTTAAGGTAGAGTACAGTGTGGGAGATTGGTAATATGCCATGGCTGAGAACAGTGTGGGAGATGGGTAAGATGTTATGGCAGAGAAGAGTGTGGGAGATGGGTAAGATGTTAAGGTAGAGTACAGTGTGGGAGATTGGTAATATGCCATGGCTGAGAACAGTGTGGGAGATGGGTAAGATGCCATGGCAGGGAACAGTGTGAGAGACGGGTAATATGTTATGGTAGAGTACAGTGTGGGGGATTGGTAATATGCCATGGCTGAGAACAGTGTGGGAGATGGGTAAGATGCCATGGCAGGGAACAGTGTGGGAGATTGGTAAGATGTTATGGTAGTGAAGCTTTAATACAGTACCTGAGTCATGCCAGACAGAACACAACCAATCAGTCATGCCACTGCTTGTGTTGGCCACCTCTACAGATATAGCAACATTATACTGAACACTCTCTGTCAGGTCTAGTTCAAGTAGCAACTCATTCTCACCATGTGACACTCGCCTCCAAATCAAGTCGCTTCCCTCCTACAAAACAAATTGTTAATTTGGTGATACTGCAATTAGCTTAAATGAAAATTTTGTCTCATTTACCTAAAATGATAATTTTGTAATATCTCAATTTGATAAATGATAATTTGGCGATATTTACAATTAGCTAAAATAATAATTTTGTAATATCTCAATTTGATAAATTATAATTTGGCGATATTTACAATTAGCTAAAATGATAATTTTGTAATATCTCAATTTGATAAATTATAATTTGGTGATCTCTGCAATTAGCTTAAATTATAATTTTGTAAGATCTCAATTAGATAAAATGATAGTTTTGTGATATCTCAGAGGCTAAAATGATAATTTTGTGATATATCATTAGTAAAAATGATAATTTTGTGATATCTCATCAGCTATAATGATAATTTAGTGATGTTTTTAAAATAACAGCGTGATGATCATTTTGATAGTCACAGTTATATATACAGTGAAATAAATAATAATCCAATGTCTAAACTAAAAATCTAAATAGTCCATCTTCTTTCCCTTTGGCAGTTGATCATACATGTTTACTCTCATTCTGACCCACTTGCTCTTCGACTCCAGATCCCTTATACAGTATATGAAATGACCCACTTGCTCTTTGACTCCAGATCCCTTACATATGAAATGACCCACTTGCTCTTTGACTCCAGATCCCTTACATATGAAATGACCCACTTGGTCTTTGACTCCAGATCCCTTACATATGAAATGACCCACTTGGTCTTTGACTCCAGATCCCTTACATATGAAATGACCCACTTGCTCTTGGACTCCAGATCCCTTACATATGAAATGACCCACTTGATCTTTGACTCCAGATACCTTACATATGAAATGACACACTTGCTCTTTAACTCCAGATCCCTTACATATGAAATGACCCACTTGGTCTTTGACTCCAGATCCCTTACATATGAAATGACCCACTTGGTCTTTGACTCCAGATCCCTTACATATGAAATGACCCACTTGCTCTTTGACTCCAGATCCCTTACATATGAAATGACCCACTTGGTCTTTGACTCCAGATCCCTTACATATGAAATGACCCACTTGGTCTTTGACTCCAGATCCCTTACATATGAAATGACCCACTTGCTCTTTGACTCCAGATCCCTTACATATGAAATGACCCACTTGCTCTTTGACTCCAGATCCCTTATACAGTATATGAAATGACCCACTTGCTCTTTGACTCCAGATCCCTTACATATGAAATGACCCACTTGGTCTTTGACTCCAGATCCCTTACATATGAAATGACCCACTTGGTCTTTGACTCCAGATACCTTATATATGAAATTATTCATTGAAGATCTTACCCTGCACTCGTGGTTGGGACTGCCCTCACACCAATACACTGTCACATAATACATCTGGTGAGCCAGCTCCTCAGGGTTAGTCCATTTCACTAGTAAGCTGCCATTCATCTGGTGTTCCACATAACCATTTTGGACATTTGGAGGTGCTATAGTTATAATATAATATTAGGAGGTATATTTCTGTGCAAAAGATGTTACCTATATTACATGCATAATATTGCAAATCTTCAAAAAGTACTATAAATATAGATTGTGATACGGTAAAGGTTTAATAAATATAGGCTAAATATATCTCATATAGGCTACAACTAATAAATCACTGTTTTTTGCTTTTTTATTTGGTTTATTTATTCTGTTAGTTCACAAAACTGTTTGTGTTAATTGCCAAAACTTAAAAAACAAGAGCTTTGTTGTAATATCATTCATTAGTGTAACAGTGGGTCAGAGATGTATTAATGTGGATATAATGCATTTATCATTTACAAACAGTTCTTCATGATGTATTTGGCTCAAACTTTGACTCAACTCCATTTTTCATTTGATGAATTATCCAAGTTTTCATTACCATCCAATAAATACGATGTCTTGTCAAATGTAATGCACCAAATAATGAAGATGCAGTATAGTACCCAGGCCTGTAGCCAGCCCCCCTCCCCCTGGCCAAAAATTCTTTCAAAATCATGCAGTTTTTCATCATTCTGAGCACTTTCTAAGTGATTTTGGCCATTTTTGGAACAAAACTGTCAAAAGAGAACCCCCTCTAGAATTTTTCAAAAAGTGAACCCCCCTTGGAAAATCCTGGCTACGGGCCTGGTACCTCACCCATTATCTAGCAGGACGGCTAGGACATTTAACAATAAAATGAATTGATGAGTGCAGTAATCAACATTTGCAGATTAAATCATTTACATTTAAATTGTAAAATTATGTGCATACAACTGTGATTTTAAAAGAAGACTCTTAGTTTGTTAAAAGAACTCGCTTAATATTTCGTTGTAATGTATTTTTAGGTATTAATGTAAACAGTGTGCAGCTGAATGGAATATACCAGTATATGTCTAAGCAAAATTGTATTACCATCTTGGTGAATGTGCAGATAAAGTTATATTAATTGATGTAAACCTTTGGAGTAGGTCTTCAAAGCTTCTCTTAATAAATGGTTTCTATGAAATGTAAATATTTAGTTTTGGATTTTGTTTGGTTACATAAGCGTTTATAGAATAATTTCTAAGCCAAAGGAACGCCTTACTTAATTAAATCCCCAGTGAGTGGAACATATATTTACGAACTAATTGTATTATATGAGTATCAATATTCTAACCCTCAAATTTCAGAAAAACAAAATGTCCGTCAAATAATTCGAATTTTTAGAAAAATACCCCAAAAAATCAGAAAATCAAAAACATGCATCATGAGCATCGTGAAGCTTAGAAGAGTACATTGATGTCACTTTGGTGTATGACATCATTAGTGTCTTCTTTTACATTACCACAAATTTTTGACTTAAAACAATGTCATCTGCCTATTGCATCTGTGTATCTTTAAAGTCTCAATTAATATTTATTTAAGATGTTACATTGACACCGTAATGCAGCTTAATCAATTTCAGTTGACTGGCTTACTAATTATCTCACATTTCTTGCTAAGCATGGATAATATTTTGCAATTAATGTAAGGAAAACAATTTTATTGATTTATTCAAAAATAACTCAGTGAGATTCACATGGGAATGTTTCAATATTTATAATATCTAACAGCAGGAGCTTAGAATAGTTAAAGTTTTTTCAAATGTTTGGTTGAAATAGCAATATACAAGTACTTGGTTAGCTAAAATTTAAATACATGGGTATTAGCTTGAATCAAAAACTACTATTTTCCACAATGAAGTTGGAATAGAGGAATTATACAAGGACACGAATAGGTGGCTTTATGCTTGATTTTTCTGCAATAAAAGTGGCAGCTATTTTGAAATTTGCATTGTTTTGCTTGTAGACATTATTGATAACCTATAAACCTGTACCCTTTTGTACAAATTAATGTAATTCTTCTGAAGTTATGACCAAAAAATGAAAACTATCTGTACATCAAATAATCTACCAATGTGTTGACAGATAGATGGAGGAGTGAACAGACGGCGGATGGATGGACGGTAAGACAAGTGGGCGACAACAATAGCTCACTTATATGAGCTTAAAGTAAAACAATATCTAGAAATATAGCAAATTATTACCTGAAATTCCCGTGTCTAGCATTAATTGAGCCTCAGGTGACATTCCTTTACTATTAAGGCTTGTCACATAGAATATGTACGGAGTGTCTCTCTTGAGATTGGAAAATGAGATATGATTCTTCACTGTTGACTTTGTAGTGTTTCCCTCTATAGTGCTCGCTGTTATAATGTGACTGATGATGTCACCATTGCGTTGGTAGGCTGCCACCTCCTAAAAATAATTATTTTCGATTAGCCCTTTTTTATGATTGTCCCATAATTCAACATAAACTGAAAGATTTGAAAGGAAAATAATGAATAATACCAGAAATATAAGGGGGGGACTACAAATATTGTTCAGTACAATAATGGATATCTTTATCCTATACTTAGTAGTGATATGCGGGAATATAATTGAAATCTGAGGTGAGTTGGAGATATATGTCTCCAGCTGTACCTTCTGCCACTCAGCTATCCCCAGGAGTTTCATTCAGTGCATTTTCGCGAGTGAAAAATCAATAATTTCGTTTCTAGAAGATATTGATTTCATATGCTGTTAAATTTAATTTTTGAGTTTTAAAGAACAATAAATGTTAAGAACTTTAAATTGAGATGTTTTGATTGTAATTATTACATTAGGGTTCCATAACATTCAAAGCATAACTAGAAAAACAGCAACTTCACGGAGTAGCAAATCCCACCGAACAAACCATGTTTTGATAAATAGCGGCCATATAAAATTTGAGCCAAATCCATCCACTGGTATTTGAATTATCAAAGATTATTTTTCATAAAACATGGTTGCCATATTCAGCTGTCATCTTTAGATTTCTTCTTTAGCAGAGCTCCTATGTCCTACTGGTACTTGAGTTATCAAGGACTACATGTTTAATGAAAAATGGCAGAGATTTCCACAAATATCAGCCACCTTGAAAATTTCTTCTCGAGCAGAGCTCCCTTATCTCTAGGCATCAGTATAAAAAAAGTGAAGTCAATCCATCCAATGGTATTTGAGTTATCAATGATAATGCTTTTTTAAGAAAAATGGCAGCCATTTTGAAATTCAGTGGCCATCTTGAAAATATCTATTTGAGTAGAACTTCTTTTTCTCTCGGCATCAGCATATAGAATTTGAACTAAATCTATCAACTGGTATTTAAGTTATCAAAGGTTACGTTCTTTTATGAAAAATGGCGGCCATTTTGAAATTTAGCTGCCATCTTGAAAATCCCTTCGCAAGAAGAGCTCCTATGTCCCTAGGCATCAGCATGTAAAATTTGAACCAAATCCATTCAATGGTATTTGAGTTATCAATCATAACGTTTTTTTACGAAAAATGGCCGCCATTTTGAAATATGGTGGCCATCTTGAAAATGTCTTCTCGAGCAAGGCTCCTTTGTACCCAGGCAACAGCATATAAAATTTGAACCAAATCCATTTACTAGTATTTGAGTTATCAAAGATTATATTTTTTCCAAAAAATGGCTGCCATTTTGAAATATGGTGGCCATCTTGAAAATGTCTTCTTGAGCAAGGCTCCTTTGTACCCAGGCAACAGCATATAAAATTTGAACCAAATCCATCCACTAATATTTGAGTTATTAAAGATTATATGTTTTCGGAAAAATGGCCGCCATTTTGAATTTAGAGGCCATATTGAAAATTCCTTCTCGAGCAGAGGTCCTACACCCATAAGGCATAAGCCTATAAAATTTGAATGAAATCCGTCAACCGGTATTTGAGTTATTGCCCGGACAAACGAACAGACGGACGAACGGACGGACGGACGAACAGACGGACGAACGGACGGACGAACAGACGGCTTTTCTATATCCCCCTCGAACTTCGTTCGGTGGGATAATTAATCCTCATAATCTTCTAAGTATAGAATAAATCAGTTATTCAATGCTCGGTTTTGAATACAGAATATAGCCCCCAGGAAATACAACATATCTACCCTCTGTCTCTTTGGTTCTTTAGGTAGATAATGTATTTCCCTCAGGGTATACCCTGTATCAAAAACCACCCATTAAATATCCATAATTTATTCCATGCTTAGTAGTGTTATAGGTAAATAACATACAAGAATAAATTTGATATCTCAAGTGAGCGGGTGATATATATAAAATCACCCGCTCATCAGATCTACAACGTCACAAATTTAGAGAGCAGATACTGAGCCAGGGGACTTGACTATAAATCCTCAGAATCCACTAAGTATAGAATAAATCAGTTATTAAATGCTCGATTTTTGATATAGCAATACTCATTATATTAGGATATCAGTTGTGAAAGATGCACATGTATTCAGACTGCACATTATTGAAAATGTGATGACGTTGTTGCACATAAGCAGCAATGATCATATTCAAGACTGATAGGATTACACTGTGACAGTCTCATGTACAGTGAAATGGCACATTATTGAAAATGTGATGACGTTGTTGCACTATAAGCAGCAATGATTATATTACAAGACTGCTAGGATTACACTGTGACAGTCTCATGTACAGTGAAATGGCACATTATTGAAAATGTGATGACGTTGTTGCACTATAGCAGTAATGATCATATTACGAGACTGCTAGGATTACACTGAGACAGTCTCATGTACAGTGACATGGCACATTATTGAAAATGTGATGACATTGTTGCACTATAAGCAGCAATGATCATATTATGAGACTGCTTGGATAACACTGTGACGGTCTCATGTACAGTGAAATGGCACATTATTGAAAATGTCATGACATTGTTGCACTATAAGCAGCAATGATCATATTATGAGACTGCTAGGATTACACTGTGACAGTCTCATGCACAGTGAGATGGCACATTATTGAAAATGTGATGACATTGTTGCACTATAAGCAGCAATGATCATATTATGAGACTGCTTGGATTACACTGTGACAGTCTCATGTACAGTGAAATGGCACATTATTGAAAATGTGATGACGTTGTTGCACTATAAGCAGCAATGATCATATTACAAGACTGCTTGGATTACACTGTGACAGTCTCATGTACAGTGAAATGGCACATTATTGAAAATGTGATGACGTTGTTGCACTATAAGCAGCAATGATTATATTACAAGACTGCTAGGATTACACTGTGACAGTCTCATGTACAGTGAAATGGCACATTATTGAAAATGTGATGACATTGTTGCACTATAAGCAGCAATGATTATATTACAAGACTGCTAGGATTACACTGTGACACTCTCATGTACAGTGAAATGGCACATTATTGAAAATGTGATGACATTGTTGCACTATAAGCAGCAATGATTATATTACAAGACTGCTAGGATTACACTGTGACAGTCTCATGTACAGTGAAATGGCACATTATTGAAAATGTGATGACATTGTTGCACTATAAGCAGCAATGATTATATTACAAGACTGCTAGGATTACACTGTGACAGTCTCGTATACAGTGAGATGGCACATTATTGAAAATGTGATGACATTGTTGCACTATAAGCAGCAATGATTATATTACAAGACTGCTAGGATTACACTGTGACAGTCTCATGTACAGTGAAATGGCACATTATTGAAAATGTGATGACATTGTTGCACTATAGCAGCAATGATCATATTACAAGACTGCTTGGATTCACTCTGACAGTCTCATGTACAGTGAAATGGCACATTATTGAAAATGTGATGACATTGTTGCACTATAAGCAGCAATGATTATATTACAAGACTGCTAGGATTACACTGTGACAGTCTCATGTACAGTGAAATGGCACATTATTGAAAATGTGATGACATTGTTGCACTATAAGCAGCAATGATTATATTACAAGACTGCTAGGATTACACTGTGACAGTCTCGTATACAGTGAGATGGCACATTATTGAAAATGTGATGACATTGTTGCACTATAAGCAGCAATGATTATATTACAAGACTGCTAGGATTACACTGTGACAGTCTCGTATACAGTGAGATGGCACATTATTGAAAATGTGATGACATTGTTGCACTATAAGCAGCAATGATTATATTACAAGACTGCTAGGATTACACAGTGACAGTCTCATGTACAGTGAAATGGCACATTATTGAAAATGTGATGACATTGTTGCACTATAGCAGCAATGATCATATTACAAGACTGCTTGGATTCACTCTGACAGTCTCATGTACAGTGAAATGGCACATTATTGAAAATGTGATGACGTTGTTGCACTATAAGCAGCAATGATCATATTACAAGACTGCTTGGATTACACTGTGACAGTCTCATGTACAGTGAAATGGCACATTATTGAAAATGTGATGACGTTGTTGCACTATAAGCAGCAATGATCATATTACGAGACTGCTAGGATTACACTGTGACAGTCTCGTATACAGTGAGATGGCACATTATAGAAAATGTGATAACATTGTTGCACTATAGCAGCAATGATCATATTACGAGACTGCTTAGATTACACTGTGACAGTCTCATGTACAGTGAAATAGCACATTATTAAAAATGTGATGACATTGTTGCACTATAGCAGCAATGATCATATTACGAGACTGCTAGGATTACACTGTGACAGTCTCATGTTCAGTAAAATGGCACATTATTGAAAATGTGATGACGTTGTTGCACTATAAGCAGCAATGATCATATTACAAGACTGCTTGGATTACAATGTGACAGTCTCATATACAGTGAAATGGCACATTATTGAAAATGTGACGACATTTTTGCACTATAAGCAGCAATGATCATTTTACGAGACTGCTAGGATTACACTGTGACAGTCTCATGTAGTGAGATGGCACATTATTGAAAATGTGATGACGTTGTTGCACTATAAGCAGCAATGATCATATTATGAGACTCTTTGGATTTCACTGTGACAGTCTCATATACAGTGAAATGGCACATTATTGAAAATGTGACGACATTGTTGCACTATAAGCAGCAATGATCATATTATGAGACTGCTAGGATTACTGTGACAGTCTCATGTACAGTGAAATGGCACATTATTGAAAACGTGATGACGTTGTTGCACTATAAGCAGCAATGATCATATTACGAGACTGCTAGGATTACACTGTGACAGTCTCATTGCAGTGAGATGGCACATTATTGAAAACGTGATGACGTTGTTGCACTATAAGCAGCAATGATCATATTATGAGACTGCTAGGATTACACTGTGACAGTCTCATATACAGTGAAATGGCACATTATTGAAAATGTGATGACATTGTTGCACTATAAGCAGCAATGATCATATTATGAGACTGCTAGGATTACACTGTGACAGTCTCATGTACAGTGAAATGGCACATTATTGAAAACGTGATGACGTTGTTGCACTATAAGCAGCAATGATCATATTATGAGACTGCTTGGATTACACTGTGACAGTCTCATGTACAGTGTACTCTGAATGAACTTTGCTAAGTTGACATCTGCCAATGCCATTTCAATTCATCATTTGCCAATATACTAGATTAGTAATTACAGTGATGATATTCAAAATGGTTTATCAAAACTTCTTACTTCTTTGTTTTGAATACAATTACTCCAGCCAAAGCCAAGAAACATGCAATAATTAAATTAGATTTGTTCTTAAATTGAGCTTTCAATGTGCCATAACTTAATATATATGGCATGTCAGCCTAAATACATGCAACTGTTGACACCTCCCAAAGGATACAAAACATGGTAGTTGTTAAAACACATCCTGTTTTTATCATTCTACTTCCTGTGTGACTGAGGTATACAAGATTAAATATAGTCTAAGCATTTTATCAATATATTAATATCAATGTTGGTTGAGTGAGTAAACCATATGTGTGATGAGATTTAATAGATTAGGAAAGTGATATAAAAATGTTTTGATATTAAACGTGAGCAATTTCCCTTATAATTTCTATGATATAGTGCAGATAACAGGCAGTGCCTGGGTAATGAACTCTTGGCAGTGTTCACAGGTTAAAATCAACAATACAGGCAGATATAAATTGGTGATGGAGTGAACCACAGAGGTGGAGAAGTTGTTGAAGTCTGACTAATAAGCATGCAAACATATCATATAAGTTACATGTACAACCCAAACTCAGACGTTTAACAAATAAAATCACTAAAAACCCAATAAAATGGCTGATTCTCTTACCTGCCAAAGAATCTTTATATTTTGACAGGTGGTGGATGATCCTGGACATTTTGTGATATAAAAACTCCCTGGGCCAAACTTTGGAGGACCTGAGGGCCCTGCAATAAACAAACAGCATAATTTAACAAAAATTAACATTTAACGATTTAACATTGCAATGCTGTATAACTTATTGATCTTTATTAGCTATGTTTGTCTACAGTGTTCTCTTCACTGATTTTGTTATACATGTTGTTACATTGCTAGCGAAGAAAGCAGAAATATATTCAGAATAAATCCTCAGAGGTATTTTTGCTTTGCAATATCCTGTGTAGTTAATGATGAGGTAAACCAATGTAAAAAGGGATAGAGTGCGTAGTTAGACAGCAAGACGAGACACAGTATCTTGAGATTTAACATTGCATGAATTGATTATTGAATGAGATCCTGAAGAGGTTAGGACACACAGAGATTTAAACCAGGCTAATTATTAATGGGTAATAATCACAATCTCAGTTTATGCATTTCAAAATCCAATTCTGTTGACACTGTACTTCAAAATATGGAATTTTAGTGCTGGAACCAGGAGGAAATGGAATTTTAATTGAAGTAAGCACACACTGATATGAGCATATGATCCTTGGGAACCCCAAATACAGGGTGGGTCAATAAAAATATCCATATTTTTTATTTGGCGATAACTTTTAGAAAAATCCATATATTTTTTTAATATTTTTACTAATCTGCATGATCAAAAAGAGAACATGTGTCTCAATCATTTTCAGTCGCGTAACCAGGCATAAGCGAGGTTTTGCACATTCGTTACCTAAATGATGGAGAAAAAAATTAATTGTTGTAAAGACTAAGAAAAAAATTTTTGTTTCATGATCTTTCCTGGACTACTTCTCTTCAAGACTCCAGACAAGTAACATTTTTCCATTCTGGTTGCATTTTTGTGTATCTTCCACAAAGACTTTGTTTTTATAAGCGTGGAATTATAAGAGTGGGCAGCAAGGGCCCCCGCCATTTACTGTTTGCATTTGTTTAAGACATTGCCAATTTTATAACATGTAAAAAACTTTTTCGAATGATAAGTGATTTAACAGGCAATAATTTTTCATCTCAGGTTTTAGTTATTCATTTACATGTATCACGAACAATGTATACAATAAATAGTGCCCCACAGTCAGAACGCACCATTTAAGGTTCTTAAATAGAAATTCCCGGGGACATTGCCCTGGAACCCCTAGTTTTGCCAGTTTTGATAGAAATATCCTTGGACCAAGGATGATATTATCATGCCGTTCATAATACAATTCATAATACTGTAACATGTAACGATTGCATTAAACTAAAAAATGTACAAATAACATACTAGCTGGTTCAGTTCTGATTGTGCTATTTTTCCATTCACTCCAGTAGAGGCCTTGCTTTGGCTTACACCTAATGGCTATTGTATAGGTCGTGTAATAGGAATGTAGAGTTCTGATAGTTCTTGACAAGTTTAAGTTGTAGTCTCCATCAACAGACAGCTTAGTCTGAAACATGAAATGCCATTTGAATCAAACAAGTTCGACAAAGACTGAAATAGAAAACATCAGTTAAATAGAGTCAAAGAAATGATGGATCAGGAACACAGATGATTTGCTGTGTTTTTATTGATATTTTGGCCTAGTATCAATTCTGAGTCTACAACTAGTGTTTTTTATTTATTTTAATTCTAATTGTGGCTCGGTCTTAACAAGACATTATGAGCCAATTTTACAGTTTATATACATATTGAAAAAATGCATTGCGTTGCGGGTCCACGGTGACCGTTGGGATTGTTGGTGGTGCTCCAAATGAGTAGAGGTTTATCGATATTTTGTCCAGAAATTCAGTGAATGATATAATTATTGAAAAATTTTCTTTTTTGTTACAAAGTTGATGACCAAAGGTTAGAGTATTTGCTTTGTTTGCTTGAGAGAGAGACTTGAACCTTATTTTTGGATATTTACGGGATATTTTATTGGAAAGTATAGTGTACTCATCTGTGTTTAGGGGGCATCTGAACTCTGAAGAGAAAATGGTTTAATGTTTCTGATTCAATTTCACATATACATAAAGGGGAATGTACAGAAGTAAAGTTATGGGTCATGGAGCTGCGCCTTAAGATCTAGGTTACATCTGAATTTATTCAAGAGTATCACACAATGCCTCGTTAAATGTAACTACAACTACAGTATAACCCTAGAGAGCCAATTAGTTAGACTGAGTATTTTAAGTTTGAAATAGCTACTGTCACCATTTTCTAAAAATCAATACTGAACTGAATAAATATGTGACTAAAATTTTTTATTTTTCAATACACATTTAAATTTTAAAAAAAGGATCACACTGTCCATTGTAAAAATATTAATGGGTATAAAAAAAGCCCCCACAACTGGTTGTGTCTCTTTAATTATTCAATTATCACTAGCCTGTTTCTCGGCATAGAGCTATAACCTCAATTGATAAAATGTAGGACACCTTGAGATTATTCTACAAACTAATATCACTATATTATAAAACATGTCATCTTGCTAACAGCAACTTTCGGCATATTATTAACAGAATTATATCTTATTTCAGGTTCTTATATCCTGATATCTATGTTATGTTGACATATGTTTGACTTGTGTGGTATGTGTGTGTATGAATGCTATGTTCTGAAGAGTTGCTGTGGTAAGCATGGTTGTATGCTTGAATAGAGTTCTCCACATTTCTCAAAATGAGTAATAAAAAAGGTTTATGAGTGGCGTGATGTTATCATCAAAACATGGTGATACAATAAAGATATAATTTATTTTGTAATTTCTAGTTGTGTAAAGTTCTATGTTATTAATGTTAAACATAATGGAAAGTCAACATGACATTTACACATCAAAATCACATGCCTTTTGAACAATTCGAAATCTGACTTAATATAATGAACTGATATTAAAGTGGGTTACCCAATCCTCGTCCCATTGTCCTTTGTACAATACATCATAGATAAGGGGAAGTATCACTGGAATGTCTGCATCTTTTGCATGTGACCACAAAATCTCAATAGAAGTGTTATTGAGCGCTTTACACTGAATTTCATTCACAGGAGCAACTTCCACTGGAAAAGAGGAAAAACATAACATAGAGATACATCACATAGCATTTGAATAAAATAAGCTTAAAAAGGTCCATGAAAGAAGAATCAAAAGTTGCTTTATTTGTTTTAGGGTAATATTATTATTTTTAAATACATGTATATGTTTCTTTTACTGATGATTCAAATCATGTTCACTGTACAGGTTAGTAAACTAAACTAAGTAAGAACACTAAACTAATTTCTTAATGCAAGCACGCAAAGGTACAAAAAGGGAAAAGATTAAAGATATTATTAAACTCAGCAAGAAAAAGAAACATCTAAGAGCATAACCATGTGCAAGGATAATTTCTCATTTAGGCAGGTATTTCTACTTTATCCAAGCACTTTGAAAAATATAAGAAACATCTAAGAGCATAATGAATCGCAAAAATAATTTCTCATTTAGGCAGATATTTCTACTTTGTCCAAGCACTTTGAAAAATATAAGAAACATCTAAGAGCATCTAGCTCTTCATGTATTCAACCCCCAGTCCTAGACAATACAAAGAGGGATAAACACTGACAATTCCAAGGTAAAATTATCTTCGCTTTTTCAAAAAACAGTTTCCCTTTTCAGGTCACTGTGACTGTAGGCTAGATCAATTTTTTATTTATTTTTAGGCTAATAGTATCGGAGTTAATGTCAACCACAGCCTATAGCACAATCAATGTCTAAAAAGCAAACCTCAACTCCGTTTCAATCGCACAAGAAAATAATTTTCAAGGAGTACCCTGGAAGTCTCAATCCCACATGATGGAAAATTGACCGATTAACTATTCAGGTTGATTTGTCAATTTCTCCTCAATCTTCTCATTCTTTGCAACTTTTGTATTTCTATCTTTTTTTTTTAAAAAGAAAAATGAGGCATTTTCCTAAGTGCCTTAAAAACATAGAAAAGTGTCAAATAAAAGACATTATTATGTATACAAAAAAGGGGGCAGGGGTAATTTCAAGAGGGCCTATATACAAATACAAGGACGATGGTGGTTAAAATAGGTACCATTAATGTGAGGGGCTTGCAAGACCAGGTAAAAAGAAGAAAACTCTTCTTACACGCTCGGAACGAAAATTATGACGTTCTACTCATACAAGAGACCCACTGCGGCATGAAACAAGCAAAACAATGGGAAAATGAATGGGGCATGACATCATATTTTACAGAAAGGGCCACAAATTCAGTTGGAGTTGGTATACTATTCTCTCATAAGGCAGACATCCAAATTGAAGACAGCGACATCGGAGAAGATGGAAGATACATAATAATAAATACTAAAATAGAAGGAAAGGAAATAACCTTAGTGAACATATATGGACATGACAATGACAACAATAATCTTTTCAACAATGGAGAGGTTAAGCTAACGATGTTTTTCACAACGTAACCGTGAACGCAAAGTACAAAAATTAACAAAGGAATGTATCGAGCGCTCATAGTTTTATGCGCGCTTAGTCTACTTCAGATACTCTTTCAGCTTCAGAGTTTCGGGTTTAGAACGGGAGATTTTGAAATTTGACGTTGGGTCAACGGGAACCATTTTACTCGTGTCTATTGAACACCATGCTGTCAATTTTGATTTCGATGCACAGTTGAATTCTTGCTGAACACGATGATGTATGTCATGCATGATTTAGGGCCAAAAATCTTACGAAACGAGCTCGTTTAAAATATGTATTAGAAAACCAGCTATAAAACCGCATCAATGACATACTATAGAATCATTACACGCTATGGTGTAGTCTAAACAAACACTGGATTTGAACGGCTATTTATATGAGAAGGCTACATGGATTTGTATATGGTCGAGTGATACGTACAGGTTCAGTTTCGATTATATATGCAAAGCTTAACCTCTCAAATATCGCAAAAAAACTGAGAGAAGGGCGTAATCATTATTCTATTATAATAGGAGGAGATTTCAACGTGCCCCTAGAGCCAAACAAAGATAAAGAAAGCCAAACAGGCAATACCAACCAGGATGCACATAGAAACACAAGACAGCAGATAAAGCAGCTAATGGAGGAACATGATCTTGTGGACATATGGAGAGTAAATAACCCTACCAAAAGAAATTTCACCTGGTCAAATGCCGCTACCACTACGAAATCCAGACTAGATTATTTCCTTATAGCCTCTCCACTAATCAACAATACCAGTGACGTAGACATTCACACTTCAAAATCCTACAAAATAGCTGACCACCAATTTGTTCAATTGCAACTAAGGATGGGCACTCAAGAGCGTGGCCCGGGTTTGTGGAAATTCAATGCAAGGTTAACAGAAGATAGAGAATATGTAGCTTTGATAAAAAACCTATTCAGAGGTTTGGTTGAAGAGCACAAGGACATGACTGCTCAAAATTTATGGGAACTCATAAAATTCAAAATCAAAACAGAGTCCATTAGGTACTCAAAGCAAAAAAACGCTGGAAAACACCTAGATATCACCAACAAAATAAGACGGCTACAAGAAATAGAGGCAAACCTAAGAGATAACTACATCCATGAAACACAGCTACGAGAAGAAGAACAACAACTCCAAAGAGAGATAGAAGAGATGAATGATGAAAAAGCAAAGGGCGCAATACTTCGAGCAAAAATAAGATGGGCGGAAGAAGGTGAAAAACAATCTAGTTACTTCCTGAAGTTAGAAAAAAGAAATTTTGCAAAAAAGAACATCACACAACTGAATACAGACGATGGCAGGGAACTTAATGATCCTGAAGAAATAAGGAAAGAAAGTGCAAGGTTCTATGAAGAACTGTACAGAAGCAGGCTCCCAGACATTAGGCAGCACTCAGAAACATTCTTCCCTGCTATAAAATCAATCACCAGTCTCACAGAAGAGGAAAAACAGAGCTGCGAGGGCTATATTACCTTAGAAGAAATAACAACACAGATCAAGTCCCTGAAGACCGGGAAGTCGCCAGGTAGCGACGGCTTAACAAGCGAATTTTATAGATGTTTCCAAGAACCAGTTGTGCCAATACTGGTAAAAAGCTACAAGGAAGCATTGGATAAAGAAGAATTATCAACTGAACAAAAAAGAAGCATTATAACCCAACTACCTAAAAAAGACCGTGACATTCTACGCCTATTAAATTGGCGACCAATATCATTGCTAAACACAGACTACAAAATAATTACAGGATGTCTAGCAGAAAGAATGAAAGCCCATTTAACAAAAATAATTAACGAAGACCAAACAGGTTTTATTAAAGGGAGAAATATATCAGAGAATATTTGACTCATAATAGACTGTATGGAACACCTTAAATCAAACAATGAATCTGGCATAATAATTTTCATCGACTTTGAAAAAGCTTTTGACACAGTGGAATGGAAATTTATTGATCGGACGCTAGATTACTTCAATTTTGGACCAGACTTTAGAAAATGGATCAAAACCATATACAACGATGCAAAAAGCTCAGTAATAAATAACGGGTATACATCATGCTACTTTAACCTGAACAGAGGAGTACGACAGGGATGCCCCCTAAGTCCGTATTTATTTATTCTATGTGCCGAAATATTGAGTGAATCAATCAGAAGAGATGAAGAAATTGAAGGCATACAAATACCAGATGGAGAAGTAAAGATTTCACAATACGCCGATGATACATCAGTCTTTGTAAGAAATATTGCATCCGCAAAAAAAGTAATTAAAAAGTTCAGAAATTTTGGAGAAATCTCAGGACTGAACATCAATCTCCACAAAACCGAAGAAGCCGTGATAGGCAGAGAAAATGCACTATTACAGCAACAAGTAAGAGATGAAAGCATGGCATCAGGGCTAAAATACCAAGAAAAAGATATAAAAGTCCTTGGTATAACAATTCCTTTAGATGGAAGAGACATAAACAGTTTAAATTTCCCAGAGAAAAGAAACAAAATTCAAGGACTTATTAGAGCATGGAAAAGTAGAAACATCACACCTCTAGGAAAAATAATAATGATAAAATCACTCCTCGTATCTCAGCTGACATATCTATGTACAGTGCTCACACCAACAGATGACTTTATCAAAGAAATAGAAAACATGTTTTTCAACTTTATATGGGATGAGAAGCCAGACAAAATTGGAAGAAAGATAATGATGAACGAACAAGAGAGAGGTGGCCTAAACATGCTCCACTTACAATCATACGTAAAAAACCTAAGCATCAAATGGATAAAGAAATATATAGACCCTACATATAGTGGCAAATGGAAGGAGGTTTTGGAACTACTACCTGAAGAACCTGACGCAGGGAGAAGTATGGGCTTTGAACCTTTCAAAAAATAGTGACAAAATAAATGTTTTAGACTTAACCATGTGCAAGGATAATTTCTCATTTAGGCAGGTATTTCTACTTTATCCAAGCACTTTGAAAAATACAAGAAGCATCTAAGAGCATAACGAGTCACAAAAATAATTTCTCATTTAGGTAGATATCTTTACTTATTCAGGCACTTTGAAAAATATAAGAAACATCTAAGAGCATAACGAGTCGCAAAAATAATTTCTCATTTAGGTAGATATTTTTACTTATTCAGGCACTTTGAAAAATACAAGAAGCATCTAAGAGCATAACGAGTCGCAAAAATAATTTCTCATTTAGGTAGATATTTTTACTTATTCAGGCACTTTGAAGAATATAAGAAACATCTAAGAGCATAACCAGGCGTAAGGATAATTTCTCATTTAGGTAGATATCTTTACTTTATCCAGGCACTTTGAAGAAAGTACAAGAACTCTGCAAAGTAGCTTATCCAACCCAACAAAACATATCTTATTACTCCTCATTTTGAACATTGCAGGAAAGATATAACCAGGCTTTAATACTGTCTCCTTTTGGCAAAATCTACATCCATGACATATTCTTTCTAGAGTAGAAGTGCTTTAGTGACAGTATGGACCAAATCAGATATCAGAACATGCGTTATCAGAAAAATGATATTTCTTCTGAAGAATGGTGGCAATTTGAGCTTTGTTCCTATGTTATATCAATATAATATAATGTATAGCACTCAAAAATTTGAGCAAAATGATTTATTGTTTTACTACTAAACCTGTATACAGTGAATACATTTGGTGCCACAAAAAGTGTTCAGTGTAAGAATTGGTACTCATTAAAGCAGTGTTCACTAAGAATACACTGAACACCTTTCACCCCAAATAACTCCAATATTATTTGAGTTAATAACCAGACAAATGGAAAGAGAGACAGCTTCATTACTCCAGTTTTTATTTCATAAAATTGATCATTAGAAAGGGACACAGCAGAATAAAGATGCATTATGCTGAGCCCAATAGAATGATCTATCCCCATGTATCAGTACTCTTTCATAAGACTTTGTAACACAACACTGACATTATCAGTAGTCTAGTTTAACAATCTATGTCAAGTAAATGTCACTGCCAGAGCCAATTGTGACATGTAATCGTAAAAGCACTTCAGGTCTAGATAATGGCAAATCCAGTAACAATCCAATAACAAATTCTATTAAACAAGGGAAAATGAATTCTAAAGGTTAATCTGAAGAAACAATTGTTTTCATAATTGATTTACATATTTTCTGCAGCATGAAACACTGCACAAAATATTGGTAAAATGTAAGATGTAGAAAAAAATTCTTTAAATAGTTTCTTCTTTTTAGCATTTTCTCAACAGTACTGCAATGATGCATGATTAATTTGTCTTGTCTTTTACCATGTCACTCATACTACAAATACAAATGTCAGTGACTTTAATTATGGAGTAATATGAACTCTAATAGTCTCTAATAAGATGCATTTCTACAAACTGTTTAACTAGCAGGGCGATAACCAGGGGGGGATTCAAGCACTTTTCTGAGCACTTTTCAACTGATTTTAGCCATTTTTGCCAAAATTGTCAAACATGAACCCCCCAGGAATTTTTCAAAAAGTGAACCCCCCTTGGCAAATCCTGGCTACAGGCCTGACTAGTATATTCCTTCAGTCATGAAATACCTTAATGGATCAATATAGTATTCTAAAATTATATCTTCCTCTTAGCTGCACAATTTATTGTACTTTAAAACAGGAACATGGGACTATATTACTAAACAAGTGGATATCTTTATTCATTAGCAATTTTCTTGAAACGCTGATTGGTGTAAAAGAGAATCACTGTGAAGATACAATCAATTCAATAGCTTTCATTCTGGATTTTTCTGACTGAATACAAAGTATATGTGTAATATAGAATTATTCCACTAAGTTCAAAACAGCTAGCTATTAAGGCACTTTTGAACCAATCAGCAAATTTTATGATTTTCTCAAGATATGAATTACCAGCTAGCTTAATATTCATTTTGTTGTACCATCAATAAAAAATTAATAACTATATAATAATCAGAATCTGAGAGATGGTATTATATACAGTATATGTAGATAAATAAACGAGAATTGCGCCTCCCTATGTATGGGTACCAAAAGTGTCGCAAAATACCTCTTTAAGGTTGATGCTGTTACGAGATTACTATTGCCCTTCATTTCTGCATCTTTTACAATTTCCTCCATAAGGCAACCATTAAAGACAAACACATACAAGTAGACACACTCTTTAACTATAGCAATGATGAAATGGTTGAAAAAATCCTTTTCCCTTTTGAGATGATTGCTTTGTCTTAAAGTCCCCGTCTAAAGTTTGAAAATATTTTTTTATCATTCATTTACTATTTGTCAGGACTTAAAAAATGATTTTAGAGATTTTTGAACAAAAAATCTTTTTTGAAAAAAAAGTTGTGAGCATTTCATTTCTCAAATATTCAAATTTCCCACCATTTTTCAAAAAAGTTGAAATTTCTTAATCATCAAATATTTCTTAATGCATTTCAAAAAAGATTATATTTTTAACACCAATGCAAAGATCGAACAAAAGACACACTATTTCAATAATAAAATGTCATATTTAATGGGCCACTTCAATATTTTAGCTTATCAAAAATATTTTGAAACATTAGTGATGTCACTAAGGTAACAAAAACTTATTGAAAAAAATTGAATTTTTTTTCAATGTCAATCTTTTCTAAATATGCTAGACTTTCATAAAAAACCAATGTTGATTGTCTAACCAGGTAAAAAGGAAGAATAAATTATGTTTTAGATATCATTGTACCATTGGTTTCTATGAGAACTAAAATTTTGAAATGCATTTTTCTCAGAACCATTTTCATGCACTGAGAAGTTCATTTCTCGCTTGTTTATCAACCGATTTTCTTAATTTTTTCAGCAAAAAATATATATAAATGTATGCTATGCATTGGTATGAATTGTGGCTAATTAGAAGATATGAGTGACCTCTAAAAGTTGGTTTTAAATAAATTCACAAATTTTGGAACAAAAAGTCTATCAAAAACCACTTTTTGAAATAAAAAAGAAAAGTTTCACATATCACACTTTGATAACATTGGGTAAGACCACAATATAAGCCAAAGTGGTTTAAACTTTACATGGGGCCTTTAAACCTTTACTGATGATTAAATTTTCAAAATATTCATAAGCCATTGTGGAACCTCTAAAAGCCATGTTTAAACTGAGGATTGAACATTTTTCCAGGACTTTCAAGTTGAAAGAATGGTGAATTAATGCTCATTCCATAAAGGAAAGTCAAAATATTCCTAGAAGCATTTAAATTCTAATCCTACGCAAATTTGAAATACAAGTTTATCAGTAATGCATGGATGTCAGAGAACAATCCAGATCTATAACAGGTTGCAATGGGGATTTCATCAATGAGAAACTAGAAAAACAGCAACTCCATGCACGGAGTACCAAATCCCACAGAACAAAACATATTTTGCTTATTAGTGGCCATCTTGAAAATTCCTTCTTGAGCAGAGCTTGTTTTTCCCCTGGCATCAACATATAAAATGTAAACCATATCCATCAATTAGCATTTGAGTTATCAAAGATTATATTCCTTTTGTGTCCCTATGCATCAGCATATAAAATAACCAAATGGAAAGAGAGACAGCTTCATTATACTCTTAGTAGTTTTTATATTATAAAATTGTTCATTTGAAAGGGACATGGTAGAATAAAGGTATATAATGGTGAGCCCAAAAGAATGATAGTTGATACCATCTTTCTCGAACAGAGCTACTGTGTCCCTAGGTATCAGCATATAAAATTTCAAAAAATCAATCCACTGCTATCTGAGTTATCAAAGATTACACTTTTTACGAAAAATGGCCGCCATTTTGATATTTGGCAGCCATTTTGAAAATCTCTTCTTCAGGGTAGCTTCTTTGTCCCTAGGCATTACCATATAAAATTTGAACCAAATCCTTCAACTAGTATTTCAGTTATCAAAGATTACATTTCTTACGAAAAATGGCCGCCATTTTGGTAATTAGCAGATATTCTAAAAATCTCTTCTTCAGCGTAGCTCCTTTATCCCTAGGCATCAGCATATGAAATTTGAACCAAATCCGTCAACTAGCATTTGAGTTATCAAAGATTACGTTTTTTATAGAAAATGGTGGCCATTTTGAAATTCAGCCGCCATCTTGAAAATTCTTTCTTGAACAAATCTACTTTGTCCCCAGGCATCATCATATAAAATTTGAACCAAATCCATTAACTGGTATTTCAGTTATCAAAGATTATGTTTCCTTTCCTATATCCCCCTCGAACGAGGGGTGGGATAAATATGTAATTTTCTTTGCCTAATATCTGCTTAAATGTGTCTGTCTTGATTGTGAAATCAAATGTGCTAAAAACAGGTATTGTAAAGATTTAAGTTTGTCAAGGTCTTTGGAATTTGTCCAAGAAACTAATAAAACTACAATGTCTCATTCTGATACTCATAGTATCTTTCTGTTTCACCTGAAACATGCTCTGATATTATGAGGCATATTCTGTGATCCGAGCACATCAGATGGGAAGAGTCATAACTGTCAATAAGTGTGATAGTTATCATGTAATCATTTACCTTAATGTCAATACATTACATAATATGCATTGTATTTAACAGCAGATATTAGCACAGGCACATGTACACAAATTTAATGACCCCAATTAGATGAAATATGAGCTGGGATGAAAGATCTCAAAAATCATCAATTTATGGCTCTCCTGGATCGCCAAATAAGCTCATTATATCATGGCATCTCAGGGCTGAGAAGAAATGAGATGTCATGGTTTATCATGATGACAATGTCTAGTCATTTCTATAGTTCAGAGCACCTTAACATCCCATAAGAGAGAGAGCAAAGAATAAGCAGTGCTATAGCTTAAATAATATTAAGTAAATCACTACCTATAACCGAGGTATTTATCACCACTTGTTCTGACTCTTCTTTGCCCAATTCATTTTCAGCTTCAATGACAAGTCCAAATTTTGTTGCGGGATGTACAAATTTCTCATCTTTCCATTCACAGGAATGTTTACCATTATGAGGACATCGAATGGATTCATTAAAACTGTAAAAATAAACATAAAAACATGCAGTCTATATTAGTTCATGCAGGGGCATTAGTAAGGATGTGTAACAAGGCACAGGGTGAACAATATCACACCTAATCTAGAGCAGTATGGTCAAAATCTAGTCAAGGATTTAACTTAAAAACAGCAACTCCCAGAGTAGCTGATTCCACCGAACAAAACATATTTTATCAAATCCCTCATTATTTTGAACATCTCAAATAACCAGGTACATGTAGTAGTACAATGCATTGTCTTCTTTTGGCAAAATTTACACAACATTCAGTGGGGTTATAATCAAGACGCCACAATCTTTGTTAATTCTATTAACCATTTGATTAGCTGGACAGCATAGTACAGAGGTCAAGGTCATCTTTTTGAAATATTGTCACAATGCTACATTTCTTTGTTTCTCCTATTTTCCAAAGAATCAAAGAATTCTAACTTTAAATCAAGGAAGTAGTGATTTATTTTATGCTTTCCTTCTGATATATCACACCTTTTTTAGGTACGGTAAAAACTATGCCATGCTATGTCTTGGACACACCTGGAGTTGTTGGGCAAAAGTCAGTGTAAATCCAGGCAATCTATTTGCTAACTATAATGATTACCATGGAAAAACAAAAAATATGTTACTGGCAAATGTCACCACTTTGTAGGTTATTGATAATGGTTACAAAAGTATATCAATTTGCTACATATACCAAACAAAGATGCTGAAAGCTGATACACAGAAATGGTGGTTGTAACAATATGTCACATGTTGGTGACATAAAAGCTCTATTAATTGTGATGATACTTACTCCAATGTGTAGTATAAAGTCCATTCTGTTGGAATCAGGGGGTCTCTCCCAATGTCCCATGTGCAGGTCATACCTTTCCATTGGTAGGATCTGCACTGGATGTTAACAGGTTTAGATGGAGCATCTGAAACACACATATAATCTGTATATAGAGATACATATATAATCTGAATATGGAAACACATACATATACTATATATATATATATAGAAACACACACTCTGTATAGAGAAACGCATACACACTCTGTATATAGAAACACATACCCACTCTGTATATAGAAACACATACACACTGTGTATATAGAAACACATACACACTCTGTATATAGAAACGCATACACACTCTGTATATAGGACTTGCAAAACAAAATGAACTTAGTGAACTTCTCAATGATGAAAATTTTGACATTTTGGGAGTCTGTGAAACCTTTTTCAGTGATCGTAACCCTTTAAATGTATCAAATGATGACTACACCTGGCTAGGTAAAAATAGAATTGATAGATCAGGTGGGGGTATAGGATTCTTTATTAAAAATAATGTAACTATATGCGATGATAATTTGCTTGAATCCAATGATGACACTTTTGAAAGGTACTGGATCAAGGTCAAGATGTATAATAATTTTTTTTAACTTCGGCGTTGTATATTTTCCAAATGATGGGAAGAATGTGCACATAAGTGAAGCCCTTTCTGAAGAGCTTGCATGTAATATTAATGAATTGAGTAGAAGCAATGAATATATTATTTTAATGGGCGACTTCAATGGACGCATTAAACAGTTTTCCCATGGCAAAAATAGCTACAATGGAAAATTGATTGATGTATTAAGTGAGGTCACTAATACCACTATTTTGAATACAACAAAAGAATGCAATGGCGAAATAACATGGGCACGAAACAATCTTACATCAACGCTCTTTTTGGGATGACGAGATTAAAAATCTCATCAGATCCCGTAAACAAGCATGTCGTTTCCACAGATATTGGAGTAGATCAAAATGTTGTGACCCTGATATCCTTAGTGAATTATGGGAAATGTATTTAACACGGAAACAGCAAGTCCATGACGCTATTAAGCAACGTCATATTCAAAATCATATTAAATGTATTACAAAAAATGCGCAGAAGCGATCCAATTCTAAATCATACTGGAAAACTCTATGTTCAATGCACAGGCTGGTCATCCAATTCAAATTAAAGATCCCAATGATCCTCAGACTACTATCACTGACCCTAAGCTCATTTCCCAGATGCTGGGTGATTATTGGAAAAGTGTTGGCACAGCTAACATAAATCCTAACACTACGCACGTTGATCTTAAAGAGCAATTGGGCATTTTAGAGTCAAGTTCTACTTTTTCTGACAATGCCATGTTTAACTTCACCTTTGACCTTGATGACCTTACACGGTGTATTAAGAAGCTTGATAACGGTAAAGCTGTTGGTATTGACCAAATCCCGAATGAGTTCATCAAAAATGGAGGCTTTTCCCTTCATAGTTCACTTTTCGAGCTTTTTTCTGAGATTAAAATTCAAGAAAAATTTCCGTCAGAATGGAAAAAGGGTCTCCTGCAGCCATTACATAAGGCTGGCGACACAGAACTCCTAGACAATTATAGGGGTATCACAATAAATTCAAATGTATATAAACTTTTTACCTCTCTTATAGAGAAGAATATTCTGCACTTTTTTGAAGATAATGATATTCTTGGCGACCTTCAAGGTGCATTTCGTGAAAACCTGAGATTAGAAAATCACATTTTTGCTCTTAAGGGTTTATGTAGTATGAGAAAGGACAAGAACCTTAAAACATATTTAGCATTTCTTGACATATCTAAAGCGTTTGACGTTGTAAACAGAGATAAATTGTTCATCAAGTTATGGGAAAAAGGTGTGCAAGGCAAAGTCTGGCGTCTTTTACGTGCGCTTTATGATGGGGTATTGAATAAGGTACATTATGTAATCTTTGGTCTGAATTCCAGTGAATGGTTCGAGTGCAGCCCAACTAACTCTTTAAAGCAGGGATGCTGTCTCTCTCCAACTTTATTTTCGCTTGTAATGACTGATTTAACTGATTGCCTGAAGGAAGAAAGACTTGGCATCCCTTTTGCAGATAAAAATGTCCCAGCCCTTTTTTTTGCTGACGATATAGTCTTAATCGCTGAATCCGAAACCCAGTTAAATAGAATGTTAAAAGTAGCAGACAATTTTGCATCAAAATGGGGCTTTAACTTTAGTTCGAAAAAGTCCAAGGTTATGGTCATTGGCAAAAGGATAGATAGGCATAAAGTATGGATCCTTGGTAATTTGGAACTTTCAGAAGTACAAAACTACAAATATCTAGGTATTTATTTTGATAGAACACTTAAAGATTCTTACCATGTGAATAGTATTCTGGCAACAAAAGCTAAGAAAATGAACGGTATGTGTGTTGCAACCTTAACAAAGCATTGCGACATCAAAAAGAGTACATTTTGGTACCACAATGTATAATTCAATGTATTTACCTGCTTTATTAAATGGCTGCCCTATATTTTTACTTAATGCCTCTATGCAAGATAAGTTCAAATCCATGCAATATAATATGGCAAGATCTGTACTACAATTGACCTGCCGTCCTGCTAGGGAAGCTATTCTAGGTGACTTAGGTTGGAGAAACATAACCGAAGTTATTGAAAAACGTCAAATTGACTATTTTATTTATCTGAAAAGTAGGTTAAAGCCAGGTTCTCTACATCAACGTATTTTTAACACAATGTATGAGAAGTTTTCCATTTAACATAATGACAAATGTTCATGGCCTTATTTTTCAAATATCAATAACATTTTGATCAAACATGGGTTAGACAGAGCCATTCATGTTGATGACACGGACTGGTATCAGGGATATCTTAAAATATCGAATGAAAGAAGCAAAAGCAGTTTTCTAGACACCATTGCAGACAAATCCTCTCTTGTTCTGTACAGCTCCTTAAAAACAAATTGTTTTCAAGAAAACTACCTTAAGACTGATTTTGACTTTTATGGTCAGAAACTGAAATTCAAGGCAAGATCAGGGTGTTTTGGTCTGAATACTGACAAGGAGCGATGGGGCCAAGGTAATGGGTTATGCAATTTATGTGATACGAATGTCAAGGACTCTATCCAGCATCGTATGTTTGTATGTCCTCATTTTAACAATGAAAGAACTAACTTCTTTCTGAACGTGATAAACTCCTGTAATGAACAACTGTCATCTAGCCTTATTTCTGCTAATATTCCAATTAAAATATGCTTGACCATGGGTGATAAAGCTTTCATTGACTGGGGAAATGAACAAGGTCATATTTTAGATCAATGTGTAAAGAAATATCTGAAAGCAATTTAAATTCCCTATAATAAGGATTGATGTATTTTAGTGACATTATGTATTTTAATTTTGACTGTAATTGTATGCATGTTTGTATGTGGATGCACCACATTTTCAATGTGTGTGCCACTGTTTTAAAAGTGATTCCAATAAATAAATAAAAAAAAAAAATATAGAAACGCATACACACTCTGTATATAGAAATGCATACACACTCTGTATATAGAAACACAAACACACTCTGCATATAGAAATGCATACACACTGTATATATAGAAACGCATACACACTCTGTATATAGAAACACATACACACTCTGTATATAGAAACACATACACACTCTGTATAGAGAAACACATATACAATTGCTATAAAGAAACACATATACAATTGCTATAAAAAAACACATATATATGCAGTATACTCCGTACATACAAAAATATAAAATGCTCTGAGGATAATAGAAACACTTAAACAATCGGAATAAAGAAACACAAATATAGTACTCAGAATACAGAAACATATGCAATGTGTATAAGGAAACCATGTATACTTGGTATACAGAAACATACAAGTATATACACACATAATTTCGAGGCTATGAAGAACCAAAATGTGAATTGTACATTTTTATCAGTTTATTCTAGAACTAGATAAAGCATCTCATAGTTTTTCATCAAGCCAGATGAAAACTGATTTTGTATTGTTGAATGTACATATGCTGTTTGTATCATATACTGCTGTTTATTCTACAGCAAGTATGAACCAAAGGAACTAAAGAAATCACAAAATATATTGAATTTTTATCCTGTACTTTATCTTGTAATAATAGAAGTGTGAAGGAAACATAGCATAACCTTTCTAAAGGTGCAACTGTCAAGTACACAGCCAATATAATTTGACGCCGTTTCGGCATCGAAAAAATTCGGCACTGTTCCGGCACCGTTTCGACACCGAAACCTTTCAACACCAAAATTTGTTACCGGACTAGTCAGTCCATTTGGTGCCAAAACGGTACCGAAATTTGGCGTCGAAAATCAGATTGCATTTTGGGGGTGTACGTGTATTGTCAATGGTGACAAAATTCAGAGAATGTTTAACCACATATAACCCTTTTCAAAATTGTAATTTGATTTTGCTTCTGTATGAATGAAAGCTTCATCTACTTAATTACTAATATCCTTTGAGCTCCAGGGTAGCTACGGGTTAACTGAGTATGGATACATATGTTCAATTTATTGTTCCAATGGCATTAACTTTCTTTGGAATTATTGTTTTTTTATTGTTACTCTGAAGAAAATGTTACAAGGCATTAACATGCAAAATGTCACCACCTGCCATCTGTTATAGATGCCAACCGCCGAATGTATTTGTGAAAGACGCCAACTACTGACCACCAACTGCTGAACACCATCCACAACCATAACAAATGTCACCACTTAAGGTGGTGACGTAAAAAAATGGCAAGAAATGTTCAGACCAGAGAAATTGTAAATCTGAACATTCATACCTTCATTTATTTTGAATGTGTATATCATTTTGGAATTTACCATTACCAACATATCCTGGATATTTTTTGAGATAAAATCAAAATGGCAAAACGAGAAAACAGCAACTCCATGGAGAAGCTAATATCACCTCATCATTTTTGAAATTCTGTATAAATAGGAATGAACATGTAGTATTCCTTAGCAAAATCTACTTTGAGCTATCAAAGATTCAATACCTGGTCTGTACTAAGTGTCTTGTTCAATGTTAGACACTTAACCGGAAATAGGAAATGACAATATTTTGCAAAATTTTGGTGAATTTTCATGTTCGAATCGTAATATTGATTTCAGATCAGGTATTATATCAAGTAATAAATACCTTAGGGCTAGGCACAAAAGCTTTCGAACCCCTTACTCCCTTCGGTCATTCAGGCTACAGAAAATGTTTGTGCATAGCCCTGTGGTATTTATTCGTTGATATAATACCTGCTCTTCGGTCTATATTTCTTGGCTACATTTACAAAAACTTGTGGCCATTTTGAATTGAGTGGCCACACAGTGATCTCCCCAGCATAAAGCAAGTGGGCGCAGCTCCCACCTGAGATTTTGAAAATAGGCTTGCACCCCCATGAAAATCTACTTCAACCCACTTGAAAATGAGACTAGGCATTACCATGACAAAATGTCACCACCTAGTTGCTCACAATATAATGAGTTCAATCTTAAGTCAGGTTTGAATTTGTGAGAACTCTGTAGCCTATACAGTTATTACTCTATTACTCATTAGCCTATAAAATTCCATAATTCGGATGGATGACTTCTCCGAATTCCTTAGAACTTAACACATTAGCTGATAAATTGTAAATGTGGCTGACAATATCATCCCTGTATCATCTGTATCATCCCTACATCTCTGAATCTCGGTTACACAAGGATGAAACCAAACTGTTTAATTAAAGTAGCAACATAACCTTAAAGAATACACTCTGTTCTGTTTGTTCAGAAAATGTAAATGGCTTCTTAATTAGAGTACCATATTATTTCTGGGTATACATCACCCATTCTATACATAGTGTGCATCTTTCAGTTTTGCATAAAGACCTAATAAGTTGAAGGTAAATAATTTCCACAATGTATGTAAATAAAGTGACCTACTTATTTGAATGCAAAAGTGTAGGTCTCCTCTCTTATACATCTAATAATCACGGATTATTCATGCACTCTGTACAAAACTGAAAAGAACATACTTGTGTGGAATGAGCTATATGTACCTGAAAATATCATAGGATTACAAATTGTACAATCAAGAAACCATTAAAATTTCCTGAACATCCATAACTACCTTAAGACTCCGGATATATCAATTTTGAAAGTGATAATACCAAAACCTTTCTACTAATTAAAAAAACATCTCTAAGAGTATACAGCTCATTGAGATAAAATGTGATAATGTCACTCATCATGAGTACGGATATGCATTATACGGTATATAAGCCACCTGAGTCTCAGTCAATTACAACACATGGGTTCTTCAAGGAATATTCCTGCCAAGGCCATTGCTGTCTTGACATGGTTGCTTTCTAATATCTATAAGATGAATATTATATGAGCCAGGCCACAGAAAAGGGGTCTTATCACAGATTTTTTCAATATTCTGATTTTTTGTTTATCTTAAAAAGCACAAAGAAAGCTTTCAAATGAGCCATGGCTTATGTCCTAACAATTTTTCCTTGCATATATAGACAAAGAAGTCGGATCTGAATTTAGCACATTTTCCTCTTAATCGTGGGCACATTTTTGGCTCTGTAGCACAATTTTAATTTTTGAGATAAGACTGCAGTATTCAGTTCAAGCTGGCTCTCATTTCTTATTTAAGATTACAATCACTATTAGTATTTTTCAAACAATGCAGAAATGATATAACATTCAAATAACCAAGCAAATTATCACTTCAAATTTAGCTTAGCCGGCTTGTCATAAATAGTAATGAACAAGGCACATGATGTGAATGAGATCACACCATCAAAAAACCTTCAAAATGGCCACCAGAGAAAAAGATGGCTGCCCAAAAGTTAATCAGCTCTAGAACTTGATATCTTCTATCATGTGTGCGAATTTGGAGACAATTCGACAAGCGGTTTTCCTGAAATGGCGATGACAAGATCTATCGAAAAATGCCTTCAAAATGGCCACCAATAAACAAGATGGCCACCCAAAAGTTTAATCAGCTTTAGAACTTGATATCCCCTATCATGTGTGCTAATTTGGAGAAAATCTGATGAGCGCATTTCCAGAAATGGTGAGGATAAAATTTTCCGAAAAACCTTCAAAATGGCCACCAGAAAACAAGATGGCCACCCAAAAGTTTAGAACTTGATATCGGGCCAACGGTATTTGAGTTATTGCCCGGTTGGACGGACATACGTACATACGGACAGACAGAGGCGTTCCCTATATGCCTCGGAACTTCGTTTGATGGGATAATAAGACTAGAAAGATGGATCAAAGAATCAATTTCTAAAAAGAAGAACAATAATACTATGAACGGGATCAGGGGAACTATAAATTGGCGGGACTTTGGAATGAATTTTTGGGGAATTAATATGACATTAAATTGGTTTTTATTGAATTGTTTTGTAGCACTTCAGTTCAACTTTGTTACAGTTGATAAAGGATCCAGATGTGATCCGAAACAGTCTGTGTCATCAAAATGCTGTTTTAGTGTCTATTCAGTGATGAAATTACTCTGTATCTATTGTTCATATGTTGATAAGAAAAATAATAAGCAGTTGTCCAGATTAAGTTGAAACAGTAGCAAAATTTTGATTTTACTTGTAAAACCTGTACATATATTTAACATACCCACCCTATTAATGCCTGGGTCACATTTGCTGCGATTCATCAGCCGGCGCCCGGTCGATTGAGTATTTTGCTCAACATTTAATACATTTCTGAACAAAATACTCAATCGGCCGGGCGCCGTAGTGAAAATCGGAGCAAATGTGACCAAGGCATAAGTTTGGAATTACCGCCATTTTACAGCAATATTGTGTTGTAGCCTCATTTTGACTTCTTCACTGTGACTTGGATTTGATTGTCCCCCTTAGAGATTAAGACATTAACCAGAATAATGAAAATGTATTTTCCTAATAAATGTTGATAAATCTATTAACTTTTCATACTCACATCCTACTTTCGCTTCCTGCATATAAACCATCTTGTGCTTTGTCATATCCACGGAGGATATATTCAAAAAGCAACTGTAATAACCTCTATCATCTATAGTCACATTTTCTATATGTAACTGAATGGCTATAACGGGCACTGCATTTTTTGACCCAGTCTCATTGGTAGCGCCTGCAGGATATTCTGGTAGTGTAACATAGCATTCTCTTGGTAGAGGGTGACTTTTGAAGATGAAATAGAGATCATCGGTGGTATAGGAGGTCTGGTTTCTGGTAAGATTACAGATCAAATCATGGGTTGATCCAACAGCCCATACAGGATTATGAGGGAGCATAACTGAAATAGGAAAACAATCAATTAGTAAAAGTAAAAATTCCACTCATATCTAGGCATGCATTATTACTTTCTGGGCAATCAAAATTCAATGAAACCATGTGTTACCTAAATCGTTAATACATGTACATTGTTTTTATTTTGTACAAGTGTCAGTGTCAATGTCAGTCCTTGCAGAACATTTCTCAGTTTAATAAGATTTCTTTATTTTACTGATATGTAATTTTCCTTGAATTGTACTTGACTCATCAGAAGCACAGGTCCCCAACTGGTTATAAAGACGTTTAGTCTTAAGAACAGAATGGATGAACTTCCATAGGAGGAAAATTTTTATTCATGTTCACCAAGAAGGAAGTTGATTTGTATCCAAATATTTTACCCCTATGTAAATAGTAACATCTGGTTACTGAAAATCTAGGCAGTCACAAGCAAATATATCTACAGCTCCGATAATCGAGTGAGATTTCCTCACTTCAACAACAGACGTTATCTGGTGATTTTCATAACGTCTTGGTTGCTTCATGATATGGCCTATCAACGTCCTAGTTGCTGAAGTGAGGAATTCTCACTCGATTATTAGAGCCCTTGGATAAACTTGTGACTGATTCCCTATTCAGTAACCGGATGCTACCATAAACACAAGGGTAAAATATTTGGATACAAATCAACCTCCTTCTTGGTGAAAATGAAGGAAGTTCATCCATTTTATTATAAAGACGCAGGGGCGTAGCCAGCTTTCAGTCAGGGGGGGTGCGATCGCCGAAAAAAATTCAGTTTTGGTCAGGGGGGGGTGCGATTTTGGCATAAGCAACACAAAAAATTAAGATTTCTTTTGAATTTTACAAAAATTGATGCAACTTCCTTCAAAATTGAGCTAGAAGCTTCAAATAAAAAGCATTTTAAAGCTCTGTTCTTCCTCTATCCAATGGTCATATTTTCAAAGGTTATGGGGGGGGTGCGATCGCACCCATCGCACCCCCCCTGGCTACGCCCATGAAGACGTCATGTCTAAATAACAAGGTGTGGACCAGTGAGAGTTGAGTATATCAGAAGAACAAGGAAATTTTCATTTTTTATTAGCAATTTTAGCATTTAACTTATTTCAACCATCAAAATTGTTAGTATATTGAATTTGAATATATGATAAAGAGATAAGAGAAAAATACACATTTTGAAGAAATGGGCTGCTCTTGGAGTTCCCTGAAAACATGTTCTTGGGTTGATTTAATTTCAAAATAGGTATGGAGTCAGTGAGAGAACATTATCACCTTTATTATTCTATAAAACACATATTCATACACTGAATTTAAACCTAATTTATAATGGCACTTGGGGTGACAGATCCTTTGAAAACTAAATTTAAAGGAGTTGGGTAAACTAGCAACAGAGAGTCCCCCAATTGAAGTGTGAAAAAACTTTTTTTAAGAATAGGAGAAAAAAACATCAGAAATGCATAGATTGAAGTTTATATTTTTGGGTAGTATTTTTAAAAAAATTTAGAAAAAATTGTTACGGTGTCTGGAGACCTTCAAAGAGGGTGGGGGCCAGAAGGAAAAAAATTCACATATTTTGCAACCCTCTAGATGAATTCCAATTTACTCAGCTATGAATGAATGTTTTTGATTTATCTGTCCAGGATTATGTAAATATATATTTATTTGATCCATACATACAATTGATTTAAACAATATGTACAGTTTAGAGGTAAGTAAAGCTTCGAAAGGACATTTCATGCTGAGTCTGGGTGACATTTTTATTCACTGGAGGTAGTAATCCTTTGAGTGTTTTCACATAGAGCATAACAAGTCTCCACTCTAATAAGTGCTTCTTTAGTTACATAAATGTTATATTGTTGCATACAAAGAATAATTTTGATGGAGACTTATTATGCTCGATGTGAATTTTAGAACTTTATAGAAAATTTTGCCTGCCATTTTTGTTGATTATTCAAAATGGCCAAATGCTATTCATGCTACATATGTAGGAAGCAGGTAAATTCTCCTAGAAAACGGAGAAAGGTTACAGAAGATTTAGCTTCACAAGTCAAGACTATTGCAACCAATAATAGAAGTGATATTGAGGTAATATAAGCTTGATTTGGGAGGAGATTGTTGTGATATTAGGTTGATATCAGAACTTATATATTTTGATATTGCTTATGTAATGGCAATATGTTGGTAATTGGGCAGATATAAAGTTAATATTGGATTGATATTTGTCAGAAATTGCTATCGAATTGGGCTTATATTTGGGTGATATTGCTATAATTTTGGGCTAATATTTGGGTGATATTGGATTGATATTGGGCTAATATTTGCTTGATATTTGGGTGATATTGCTATCACATTGGGCCAATATTTGGGTGATATTGGATTGATATTGGGGTGATATCGCTATCATATTGGGTCCATTATTTGGCTCATATTTGGCTGATATTGGATTTACAGTGGGATATTATTACAATCAGAATAATTGGGTGGTATTTGGTAAATAAGAGGGTTGATATTGGACTGTTACTTAAATAATATGAGGCCAATACTTGGGTTATTTTGGATTGATATAGAGTGACATTTGATTGACAATTGGTTGATGTTGCTATGATATTAGGACATTATCTGGGTCATATTTGGGCGATATTGAATTGGGTGATATTGCTATTGAATACATAGAGGTTATATAATGGGAGGGATGGAATATGAATTTTATCCTGAGGGAAAATATGATATTGGCAGAGGAAAATCATGAAATGTACATTCTGAATTTAAATGAATTAAAAATAATAAAGTATTTTCATTATTTTAGGTACTTTTGTTCTCTTTCAGTGTTGCGTGGGAAGGAATATATTAATATAAATATCTCATTATTGGCAAATTGCCAATTTACTATATATTGTAATTCCAACCTCTATGAGACTAAATTCCTACAGATATTTGTGATATTTTAACCAAAAAGGTATATTTTGGTAGAAAATAATGAATTTTTTAAATTTGACCTTGACCTGGGGAATATGACCTTGACCTAAATTTTCATACATTCTTGGAACACATATATCACATAGATTAATTAAATAAAGAGAAAACTTGAAAATCAGGTGGGGCTTAAAATGGCCTTGTTTACCCAACTCCTTTGTTGATACATATATGATCTTTATAATGACTTTGACTATCAATTGCAAGTGGTTGGAATTTTGTCTCTATATGAACATTAATATTTTGACCATGCCCTTAAGTGATGTGCTAAAAGATAAATCTGATTCCAGAAAAAACTACAATTTACAGTCATAACAATATTACAATTAAACAAAATTAGTGAAATAAACTACAGTCTAATCAGAACCCTCAAGGCAGTTTTCAGAGCCTTAATAATGATCAAAATGTAATACATGGCTAATATACCATTAATTTGGGACAGAATGAGCTAATAATGATTTTTTAATGGTCATCTTTAAGATAAGAGTGTGTTTTCTGATTCAAGGGACACATAGGGTAAAGCATTTTCTCATGTTAGCCCACAGCAAAATTTCATTAAGGCCCACAATATTTCTTAGTGATTTCACTTCTAATTATCACAATTCCTAAGGCATCAGCATACAAAATTCATCAGTGTCAAAAAAAATATGACATTTTAAAGTAAGGTCTTTAGTTTTTCAGTGTGGAGTTGACATTTAGCCTTTTCCCTCACTATCTTCCACTTTCATTTCTTTCTTAAGCTCATTTCCAAAACATCTCCCTTTTGCCCCTTTCCCTCACATTATTGGACATATATCATGCAATATATAATAAAATTTGTATAAAAACAGTCAACCAAACAAAAGTATGGAAGTGTTAATATTCATGTACCAAAGAAATGTCTTTATTAACAATTAAAACATACTTCACAATATTTATCCAAATGGTGTATTTTAAAAAAAAATGTAGATTACAACAAAATGATTTTTGTAAATTTTGCCAACCTGATGTCCAAGACACTTAAGAACATTATTTTATAGACTGTAACTATATCGAAAATATTTGGCAAAATAGCATACTCAGTAAGGATGAAAAATTAGGGTTGTCTCCTGTGCCAAAAGACAAAATGTTAGAGGCATTAATTATTAAAAAAAAATAGTACCATGGGTACTGGGCCCATATGGTGTTGCTCAAAAGTGAATGATGGCCAAAACGACAACAAATAAAATAAGCCACATGGTGAACATAATCGCACCCTTGAACAGAATACACTTTTCGGGATGGAAAATTCAAAATGGCCACCTTAACAATTACCCTGACTGCCTAAAAACTAATCAGTTCTAAACTTTCCATAGAAACATCTCTAAAATTTTAGGATGAATCCATGAAACCTGTAAACAACCCTCAAGAGACACGTTTTAAGGTATTACTTCACAGTGTATCAGCTTTTTTTCTACAATTCAGATTTTCTTGAAAAAAATGCTGGTAAAAGATATACTGATGTATTACAAAATATGTGAAAATTGGAAAGATTGACCGTTTAGTTACTTCTAAAAAAATGTTTTAATTTAACATTGCTCTCAATTTTTTAAAACAAGCCTTCACAGACACAATTTTAGGACGAAAAATCCAAAATGGCCGCCTTAACATTTACCAAGAATGCCGAAAAACTAAACAGTTCTAAACTTTTATAGGTAGAAACATCCATGAGAATTTCAAATGAATCCCACAAACGGTTTGGCTGGAAACCTGTAGACAAGCCTTGACAGACAAGATTTTAGGACGGAAAATCCAAAATGGCCGTCTTAGCATTTATCCAGAATGTCAAAAAACTAATCAGTTCTAAACTTTCATAGATAGAAATATCCCTGAGAATTTCATATGGATCCCTAAAACTGTTTGGCTGGAAACCTGTAGACAAGCCTTGACAGACAAGATTTTAGGACGGAAAATCCAAAATGGCCGCCTTAACATTTACCTAGAATGCCGAAAAACTAATCAGTTCTAAACTTTCATAGGTAAAAACATCCCTGAGAATTTCAAATGAATCTCTCA